ATTTTATACATGAATACTTACTTGGTACTAACTACTCAATAATAAAAAAACGTATCGTTAGAAGATGATATTAACGTATTCATTCATAAAATCAATAAAACTTTTTTTTAACTATGGCTAGAGTCTTACTCTAGCTAGAGACTTAAGCGATCGCTCCCCAGGTGTCGCAAAAACAATTTCCAATAATTACCAATAATCGAGAACCTATAATTTATCTCCATTGCTTTGTTTACAGGTATTGCTTATAACGTCAATGCGATATTTCGTAGAGCCAATGAAAGCTTGCTTGCTTTCACAAATGAGCAACACAATTATCAGCCAGAATTATTAATCAAAAGGCTGGCTTTTTTATAGTACTCCTGCGTTCGTAGGAATAGTGTCTAAGTTTGCGTAGCGCCTTATTAGTATTAACAGTACCCATTTGTTATGTAATCATTAAGCTAGAGTCGTTCTAATATTTGCATTGGATTTTTATTTGGATTATTTTTATTTGTTTTTGCTGTAACAACTAACTCCCGTCGAGATATCAAAGCACATTCGTCTTGATTGCAGACATTTGTTTCACTAAGACTCCGGTGTCCGTACGTCTGTAAGTTTGCCACCATGCTGTATTTGATAACTGTGATAGGCAATTGAAAATTTCACAAAATTTTTGTAATACTAAAAAATTCAAATATTAATGAAACAAAAACATATGGGGAAAACTTAGTGCGCATATTATTACAAATTTCGTGACTAAAGTTTCAGCAGTCTGCCATTCTGCGTCACAATATTAAGTTTAAGAAAAGAGGTTTCATTCATATTCATAACTTCAAACTCTTCCAAGCCATGATGGCTTTAAAAAAAAGAAAAAACATTTGGATGCCCATCACAACTTTTTAGTTAAAAAAATATATAAAAAAAGATATTAATAAGGTTAAAATAAAGATCCGCTCACGTACCTAAGTAGTGTTTAAATTCTCTTTGCACTTTTGCGTGATTTTCATCACAGAATTTTTCCAATAATATAACTAAAGAAGTCTAGTCGAATTTTTATGGCTTCTGACATCACCTTCCAACAGTACGCGATTAATTCAAACCTAATAAATAAATATTTGCCTCAAAGACACTGAAATTGAATTTCCTAAGTTCGGACGGGACATTACGCGTTTGTTTGTGTTATAAGTATTATAAGGAAAAGAAAAAACAGATGGAGTAAGGAAATTAATATGAAGGGCAATGTTCAAACGCCATGTGTAGCCGACAGAAAACTTCTCAAGGATATACGGGACTTTCAGAATATTATTCACTTATATCGGCAACGAGAGGTTTCCATCGAAGGATAAGGAATAATCAGACTATAATTTTACATTTCAACTATGTGACAAAAGAGTAGCTTTATATGTGATGTAACCATCACCATCACGAGCCCATTTGTGTCCCAACATGCTTCACATGTGACAAATTAGGCTCAGGCCTTCCCTATGGATGAAATCGAATCATATCAATTAGGAGATAATGGGTCCAAGACCCACCACGCGGGCCCAACGTTTAATGGTGGGTATTAACAACTGCAGATGCAGCCAAGACCAACGGCTTAGCGTGCCTTCCGAAGCAAGGAAGAGCTCGAGAAATCATATTTTTGGTCACCCATCCTATGATTGGCCATTGGGAAAGTTGCTTAGTAACCGTATCGCAGGCGCGCCAACCATTGCGAGCTCCTCGTGGAATGTAAACCTTGTCATAATTATCTGTTTTATATTACAGTAACTGTTTTTCCAGGGACTTGAGTCACGTAAATTATTTATCTATGTTTATTTATTTATTTCAAGAAAAAAGTAATTATACCCTATTTTGTAACTTCCCATAGATGAAAAAAAATAATTGAAATCTATTGTCTACTTTTTAAAGATTTGAGCGTACAAACACTCTAAAAATTAGTACCTCATCTTTGGCATCCTTATCATATTATTTATTTCATTCGAGTTTTGTTTCATTAGAGCAATTTAAATTTATGTATATTAAGCCTTTCAAACTAATTTGGGCGATAGACCTCAATTGCCTTTGTACAACAAAGAGCTAGAAAGCCTAGTTTTAATAACCACCTCGTTGATTATACAAAATCCTTATCGAAGTGAGCGGAATTTTCATAATAATGTTCTTGGTTTAATTCTCCTAAAGATAAAGTCTTACTTAGATTTATTAAGCTTCAGAAATGTTAAAATTTATACTCATATTTATAGTTCGATTTATTAGTGCTTAGCAAATAATGAATTAATTTCAAAAATTGTTATGTAGCTTCGTGCAGATGAAACTTGTTATTTAACTTTACAGCATGTAGTCATCAGCTCTTTAACGTCCCTACTGCAGGGGCTCAGGCCTTCATTATGGATGGTTAAGGAGGGTGGGCCATGGCCCTCCACGCTGGCCTAATGCGGATTGTAGGGTATTAAAGACTGCAAATGCAGCCGGGCCCAAGAGCTTAGCGTGCCTTTCGAAGCAGGGACTAACGTTAACGAAAGTTGCTTAATTAATAACAATGATAATGGGCCGCGGCTCTTATCCACTACTCCACCGAGATACTTACTTTCAAATAAATGTGTTTCAGTCATCAAGTTAACATCATCGATAAACTTCAATAAAACGAAAAGAGGTAATACTTTTTGAAGTATAACAGGATCAATCCTTGTGTGACAGGTAACAAGGCCCATTTTATATACCCATCCGATGTAACAAGCCAATATTTAAAGTTCTAAGGCTGTAAAGGTGGAATGAAGAGCCAGAGCTCTTCCTAATCTGGTCAGGCCAAAAACAGCTAATAAAACTTTTGTTGCTATAGTAAATTTCGATGAACCTATGAGCCTTGATATTTTTATTGGGGTTAAGGATGTTAGGGAGCATGGAAATATATAACACAGAACAGGTTACAGGATTAAAGAGATTTAATTTTAGATAATTTATATAAATTATATTAAGGAACGAACTTAAGGTGAGGTTGTACGAAATTGCAGCTTTTTAAATCAATTTTATTCTAAGGTTGTGCTAATATTTGCCAAATAAAAATAATTTTATGAAAAGAAAACATATGATTGATTGCTTGATAGGCATCGCATAGATAAGTTTTTAAGTCTAGATAGGTGTTTTGGATCGATCTTACGAATATATTTCATCTTAACTACATAAAAATATATACAAAAATAGTTTTGATATAATCTAAAGTATGAAAGAAAAATACTTTTTTTGTGATAACAAATGTATGCGAACTCGTCTTTACTTTCGATGCGTATTTGTTTGCGTGTTTATATGAGAAGCGGAGGTACAAGAGGGCCTTAACCAAAAGACCAAAAAATAGTGGTGGGTCATGGGCTACTTACCTTTTTCGATTCCATCCATAGGGCAGTGCTGTCATATTATAAAGATTCGATCGATTTCACGATCTATGCTTCCACAGCGTTGTGTTCGACGTTGAGTTCCAGGCTGTTTTTAATAGCATAGCTTTGCTCCAGTAGTCGAGACATTGATAGGCTGATTATGAAGAATTCAAATTAATTATAAACTACTGTGTGATAATAATAAACTTTAATTGGAAGCAATAAATCTTTTGTAGGCTTACATAATCAGCTTTAGTGTCTTAAATTTTTGGAACGATATAAAGAAAGTTCCATAGCTCTGGTCACATTGTTCCAAAAATTACGGCCACGTTTGGCCAAAATCCAACCGAATTACGGCCAAAGACCACCAATTAACAAGGGCATAAATATATATTACAAAAACCACATTCACTATTTTGTTTATAATGTGCTAATGAGAATGAAAGAAATGTATAATTAATATCTATTTTCTCAACAGTTTGTTATTTTGGTCTTGTTATAGTCATGCAATTATGACTATCAATTTGGTGATTGCTGACAATTCATGTTTACGTCAGTGGATGCATGCATGAACGTAAGTTATGTGCAAACAAAATTCAATTCAATCCCCTAAACATAGTCTCTATAATGGTCTGTATCTGATTGAAAACAATACAATCTGTTGAGATCATAGATCTAACAACAATCGCGTAGAGAGCATATTTACTATGTTTTAACTTTTATTTTGTCTGTTTATCACAGACAATTTCCCGAAACGTCTAGATCGATTTCATAATAAATTGTTAGTCAATAACTTTAATACATAAATTTTAATCATGTCAGCCTCTTAAGAGGGGTAAATAAGAAAATAAAATAGTTTTTCTATCGATATTATTTGCCATATTATCATATCAAAATATTTCTTAAGGATGTCATATTTTTTTCCGTTATTTAAGAAATTTGGATAAATTTGTTTCCTCTTGCATGATCTCTGGAACGCCCAGGACCAAAGCCTTTTCAGAAAAGATGAATAGATTATCTATAGATTAGACCAAAGAACTTGTAAAAATCTAGTGGTTTTTTCAAATCTAACATATGTGCGAATGCATGTTTTTTTTTTTATTATACCTACTTTAGATATTCTTTTCGACCCGTCGTAGGTCTATGGTTGTTACACATTCTGCTATTTAGGTCATCGCATAATATTCAGTACCTATCAAAGTGTTCCGTGTTTATAAATTAACGGACATATTATACATCTATTTATTCTGAACTAGCTGATTTATCTAGACTGGCTATGTATGTGATGTTGTCTAATAACTTTTCTAAATTATACATAAACAAGTAGAAGTTACTATTTTTATGTACGTTTATTTATTATAGCATTCAATAGGAATTTATTAAATCCGCCTAAACTAAAACTTATGTGACCTACGTATGATGTAGCTTCCAATTGATGAAAAAAAAAACATTATAATTAATCAAATCTTTCCTCTTTATACTATTAGTGGAGACAAAATAATGACTAGTAATATTTCGATACTATTCCTATAGTCTAACAGACAATTAGGTTACCCATCAGCGTTCATCTTGACATTGAAACTATTGCTACAACACACTTAAAACTAATTGTCTCGCTCTCCAACAATTATTTACTACACTTACACTCCAGTTTGTCAATGAACATCAAAGTGTATAACGGTTTCTTTAAAGCGTTTGAGTTCATTACTATTAATAACATACATACCTTAAATTAAAAAATAACATCAACTTTACATATTTATTAACAAATAGCCTAATAATAAGAATACTTTATATTATAATTCCTGTATTCCGCACTTACTTATTAAAGATTGACGTCTGCGTACCCCAAGGAAATTTATTAGTCCCCCAAGTGTTTAATTTATGAATAGAACTGTTGAACATTTGAATAAATTAACAACTATAAAAAATGGCAAAGAATAAACTAAATAGAATTGTTGTGATATTAATGTGCTCAATCGTGATGACAGTGAAAGTAATTAGCAAAGATTTAAGTGAAGAAGAAAGAGCTATGAGAGCTACTTTTATTCAAAAATTATTAAATAAACAAAAGTACTTGGAAGGCAAAATTAGATTAGTCGGTGGATCAAATGATTATGAAGGTGCGTAAAGCTTACTGTTTATTCTACAGACCATAAGTTAAATGTTAATTACAAAATTAGTATTAAATTTATTAGATATTTATGTAATTTATTAAATATATACGATTCTTTCGTTAGAAGTGTAATTGGTAATAATTGGGTATTATAAAAATTAACGAATTAAGATATCAATTACAAAATAATTATTTCAAATAAATAAAATATATTTTTAAGCTTTTTTATTTCACGGGTTTTATTAAATCTACAACAATGTTATTTTTCAACAAACAACTGTTACTACAACTAGTAGATATTATTTACTTTATTTGATAAATACTTTAAAAAAACATATGCTTCCAAGACCCATTCAGACTACTCACATTCTACTCTCTTCGGATGACTGCTTCCAATTGAGCTTGCAGAGACTTTTTCGTCCGTTCAGAGACTTTTAATTGCAAGGCCAAAAACTTTGACTGAGAGCATATCCCCATCAATATTTAAGTTTATTAATATTTAAAAGTTTTAATTTAATTGAAATTACATGTCAGTCCGTTACAGATAAATGTTGCTAAATAAAATATTGATAAAAGTATTTCATTTTAGAATTCAAACTCTCAAACTTTCATTTTTAGGACTATTTCTTTTTCAGATTAACAATTCAAATCCTTTTAAATTACCGAAGCAAAATATTTATTTACCTAAATACATAATTTTATTTATAAATTATTCAGTATCTATGAAAAAGATGCATACACCAATTGCTGCTACAAAGCACTCTTTGTACTAATACACCTTAAGAGCATCTTAAGAATCTTTACATTTTAATTATTATCAATAGTAAACAAAGAACGAAATTAGGCCAAGGAATTTATCATCATTTCCACTCCATCAATCCTTTCAAATTAATTGGCATTGATAAACTGTTATGATTGTTACAAATTACTACGGAATACTTCAAAGAATCTATTATACTATTCATCGATGATTAAGCATTAAAACTATAATAATTTCGTTTTAACAAATGAAATATTCACAAGAGTGAAATTGGTACACCGACCAGTGTACTATGAATACAAGTTTTCCGAATTGGAAATGTCAGGAGCAAACCTGTCAAATCGTTATGGAAACGTAGTTTCTCATCGAACAATGATAGTTCACTCGTTTATATTCAGTATTTTGATGTCTATGTTATACTCGTAAGTGACGTATATATGCATTGAAAACAGAAATATAAAATATTCTTTCAATTCATCACCATACAAGATGCGATATTGTCTGTAATATTTATTTCTATTTCTTGTATAAGAGACTGCTATTCTTTCGCTTCTTCATTCCATTCTTTTTCATCTACATACTCCACTTTATCTTAAGAAGCGCTTCTTCTTTCACTTTTATAACCCTATCTGAATTCTGCGGTCTTTACATTATATCATTAGTTATCCCATCCCACTCTTCTGATTCCGTAACTGACACATTTATTATAACAGCTTTTTTGTTAAATTGTGGAACTATCTGCCTATGAAAATACGTATTAAACGCGCGCAGTCACGGGACTCTTATGAAAGATTTATTTCCTCAGGTTGAGCTATTCTTCATTCTAATACTTTGTCTTTCCTTTTGTCTTTCCTTCATACCGTTTTTTTTCTGTATAATAAGTCGTTCATTGTCTATCTATTTATAACTCACTAGCCCCTTTCCTTAGTTGGTATAGTTTCTCTTAGCCGAGAGTTGCCTGGCAAGTCTGCCTATATTTGTTTCATATGTTTCTTTTTAGTGCAATAAAGTGTAATCATTCATTTCACATAGCCTATACAAAAAATATAATTTAGAATTATCAAAACTAGCACGATTGAGTCATTCCAGTAACTATTCCATTTATCCATGGAGTGTACTGGAGAATGCATCAGTTCATTCTGGGTACAAATACCTCACCGATTTGTGGTGTGTTTGAAGTAAGTTTCGGCGGTGTTTATTAGCTACTCAAAAATCACATACTCTATGGTTGCCAAGGTGGTAAAATATCGAGAAAACGGGTTAATCAATTCCAATAATTTGGATCACACCATAGTCTCGTTTCACAAAACTGTAATTCTACAGTTAAATTAGTTGAACATTGGTAGTTCTATAACACAGTCAAGATTAAATTTAGTTTTAATCATATAGTTTGACAGGATTAAAACAGGCTTTTTGTTCCATTTTTTATATAAATTATGTTAAACATGTCGCATTATGTTTAATATTAATAATTATTATAACTTTTTATTAGGAATTCCGCATACACAATTTTTCTTATATAAATATAAATAAATTGCTGTCTCGCTAAAACTCGAGACCGGCTGGCCCGATTTGGCTGAGTATAGTTTTGAAGCGTTTATCGTAGCCTAGGGAAGGTTTAAACGGTGAGAGGTGAAAGTACACCGGGTCATTGGGAATTCCGCAGACACAATTTTATTTAAAAACTAAATGCTATAAAACCGTGATAAAATTAAATCCTTATATTATAATCAACACTATAACTTTGTCATTTATATCTTACATTTTTCTTGTACAGTTATACTTATTTATTAAACTAATTAACACTTACACCAATTTTATGTTAAAATGTATTGTTAATTATTGGTGTTGTTGCTGAGCTTGAGTATTTCACGAATTTAATGATAGTATCTGTGGAAACATCCTTAACAATACTATTTTAATAATCAAATCTTTATATAAAGACTATAGTAGGTAAGTACATTGTGGGTAGCGATGGGCTGTATAACCGGCGTCTATTTTATATAGGGGAGACTGGGGCTCGTTCTAACAAATTTTGAATTAAGCGTAATATTTTCTAAACTACTTTAGCAAGAAACATGGTTTTTTGGCCCATGATGCAAAATTTTATGAGCTTTACGTAAAGTACAACAAAATGTATATAATAATTACCATATATGAGAAAAAACGAGTTTTGGCAAACAAGTTACTTGTTAGATCTAACCCTCGGTTTGGGGTTGGTTTTAACACTGCAGGGGAAAGTTTTAACAGCGGGGGTAAGAAATAACATATAGTTGGGAATGGGATTTTGGTTAAGATAAACTACAAAATAATATTCAATGTTTATTAGAAACATAAATAAAATTAAATGCGGTTCCTTACTGTTCATAAAATAAACGGAAAACAAAAATTATATTAGTTAAACTGACTCACTCAATCAGCATTACTCAAATCAAAGAACAAAAACTAATTTTTGATCATCAAATGATCATTAACAATCCAAATAAAATTAAATTAGGCTCCTGGCCATTTAAACATGTGTAATAAAGTTAAAACTTACTAAATCTATCTTTATCAAATAAAAGAACATAACATTACTCCTCTAATAAATCAACATACAACTTTGGTTATAAAAGTGAAACTTTCTAGTCAGTCATACTCAACCTACTACCTTATTCAGTCTTCAAACCAGTGATAAAAATTAGTTATCGTAGTCAGAATCTGAGTTGCAATTAGTACAAACATAAGCAACTGCATCGCCTTTTATGCAGGTTATATGCGACCATCCTTTACAGGATATACATTCGACCCAGTCCACACCACATATATCTTTAGAATATGATGAGCCACAGCCTAAGCAAATGGTCTCATCCTCATCATCGTCGTCTTTTAAACTCTCTTGTAATACTTTCTTTTTCACTCTATCCTTAGGCTGTTAACTGGACTTTTCTTTTTTTTTCCACTTTACGTTTCTTAACTCTTTGTTTTTCCTTATTGACTTTTACATTCGCAGTAGATTTCTTTTTGTTATTCTTTCTTTTTTTCTTTTTCTCTTTTCTTTAGCTTTATTTGTCACTCCCACATTTACATGCGAGTGATGATTGTCCCAAAAAAAAAATGGTACCGGATCATCTTTAGTGGGTTTCACGTGTTTTATGAAATGATCCAAAAATATCAAAAATTCTCTCTCAGACATCCAGCCTGAACTGTTACCGGCGCCAATAGCTTCAGGCGGGCCATTTTTAATGAAAATGGTTTTCCTTTTATAATTTTTCATCCTAAAAAAAAACAATAGAAGTTTAATAGGTCGATCCATATCGCACACAATATTAAATAAATAAATAAATAGTGGACAACATCACATACATTGCTCCGATCCCTTAGTAAGTAGGTAGTGTTATGGAAATCAGAAACAACGAAGATACCACAACACCCAAACCCGAGACAATGTAGAAAACTTATTTTTCTATCGCCATAACCTTAACATTTTTCGAAATGGGATCGCAGTTGGGATCAAAATTGCAACCTCGTCGTATAGAAACAGTTAGAAAAATATTACCTACGTTTAAATTTTTTCAACTGTTAAAACCAAAAGCAAATATTAACGCGTTAGAACCTACCCCGTCCATTTTGTTAAAACCAACCCCACGGCCCCATTTTGCACAAAGTTACTGTTTTTTTTTACCGGTTATGTTCTCTATTAAAACTTTAACATTAATGAAAAATACAATAAATACGGATTTATGCAATATCAAAACCAATTTTCTACGGTACATATTTAAAGAGTAATGCAAAAAATTAAACACGTAAAAAAGTTCATTTACCTGTAAAATTAGAGGCGTCTGACACAACCTGCTCCCGTGACGCTCGATCGGCAACTGACAGGTCGAGACACGTTCGCGCGTATTCGTAGGCACAAAGTGCGTTGGAATTAGCGTGGTAAGTCGAATAGGTTCTATGTAATTACGCTGTTAGTATTTACCCCTGTTAAAACCAGCCCCAGTCTCCTCTACATTTTCAACAGTCTGGAGTAAAAGTCAGAATATATAACACCTACCTAATACTAGCTGAGTAATGAAAAAATCTAAAATTTTCTGGTTGTTTAATGGGCTAATACCTATATGGGCTAATACATCAAACGTGTACATCAGATAAATTGTTTAGGATCAAATAAACAGAATACAAACGTAAAAGTGTATATTTTCGAATCAGGCGTAAAAACGCAACAGATAGATTTCATATTTAACCCCCTTAATCCAAAATAAACTTATCAAATTTCCATCTCTAAATAGATGCAAAAAAAAACTTGTGAAGCACTTAGCCCCCCATAATTCGGATCTGTCACAAAAATCTTTTGGACTAACATTATCAAAATATTACTTCGTTGCCAAATTTCATATCAGTAAGTTCAATATTTTTTTTAGATTTCATGATTAATGGTAGCTCATGTGCTCGAGTAAACATATAATAATAAAACAATAAACTTTCTAACTTATGGTTATTATACTTAAATTAAATTCTTTGTTGATATAAACTTTGTCGATATATAGGTTTTTTTTTCATTAGTAGTCGATATACAGCAATATCGATAAAAAAGAGACGACTACTAATGAGAAATCAATGCACAAAAAGAGACGGCATGAAAGACGTCAAGGTGTGCATTTCAGAAATAATCATTTGTGATATTTTTTTGGTTGTAATTTAGTTTCAAAAAAAAAATAGATAATCACTTGCCTGTGAAATGATATCCCATCTCTCGTGTAACTTGAAGGCGGTTTGCACGTTCTATACTATTTAATTGTGCAACTAGGATTTTTTTTCTTATTACTTTTAATTTTAAAACAAGAGCGCGTAATATTGTTACCAACCATTATTATAAGTAAACTGACGGAAAAATTCGTCATCGCACTTGAATTAGCGTATTATTTTCGTAACTATTATTTATTTATTTTTATTTATTTGTTTATTCGTTGTTTGTTACATTTTTACAGTAATTGAGTCTATCCTTTAAAGTACAACCGTTCTTTTACAGTCTAATTTGTAACGAATAAAAATTAATACAAGCTTAGTGTGTTGTGTTGTCAATCATTACAGATATTTTGTGTGTGTGTGTGTGTGTGTGTGTGTGTGTGTGTGTGTGTGTGTGTGTGTGTGTGTGTGTGTGTGTGTGTGTGTGTGTGTGTGTGTGTGTGTGTGTGTGTGTGTGTGTGTATCTCATTTTAGCCATATTGTTAATTTTCCTTTACATTCTCGGTAAGTCGTGGTAGGTATATATTTTTATTTGTCTGTTTATTTTATTATATAGCCTTACTGATTGTATAAAAAATTATCTCGATGTTGTTCTGGTCTTTCTTTGATTAATAACAGTAAAGGGATTACGTTTAGCACTTTTTGCTGGGTCTTGTGGCGTTTTTTTATTGGCGTGTTGTTAACGCTTGCTCCCACATGCTCATTCCAGTATAGATACTCCATGCATTTATCAGACACATGAATCACTGGATATTGGAAGAAATTATTTGGTACTTAGAATAATGATATTACTTTTATAAACATTAGGCACGCATATACCAGTTCACGCAGACGAGTCATAATGCTCCACGGGGCTTTCGTACACATGTGCTTGAACAATTTTTGAATGAAAGCGTTCATTCGGATATTCTTCGAGCACATGCGTATTTATACAACACGAATATTTATTCATAACCATGTGGATCGTCTGCTCTCGGTAGTCATGTTACCGTGTTCTGTGAAATTAATAATGATAAGCTTTATAGGCAATGTTTACATCTACCATGCCGGCCGTTGGGGTGCCGTCTGCGATGATTCGTGGGATGATGCTGCTGCTCAAGTGGTTTGCAGAGCCTATAATAAGACGGGTGTAGCCACTCACGGTGGACAGTACGGAGAAAGCACAAGTAAATCAAATAGAAACTATTGTGATCAATCCTCAGTAATGTTTGAAGTTTTGTTGTGCCATAAGATTGACTATTTTGAAAATTACATTTGAATCATTGAATTTGATATGAACTTCGCAATAAAAGCAAAGAGTTTTTAAAAACCTAATCGATGCTAAAAAAAGCTTACATAAAAATTATTAAATATCATGCATTCTAATGATAATATGTTAAACATACATACTTAAAATCTGTTATAATAAATTTTTATTCATTTCAATCCCAATAAAATACATCTTTATACATATGAAAAATTTAATCAACATCGTTAGCTAATCTTAGCTTTGTAAGTTAAACAACATTTGAATTGTATTATATCTCTTTTTACTGCAGGGAAATTCTGGATGGACGACGTAGTCTGTCAAGGGGACGAAAAATCATTATCCCATTGTATTTTTACTGGATGGGGCTCATCTGACTGTGAACCAACTGAGGCTGCAGGAGTTATATGTTCGGACGACATCCACAGACAGAAAACGGTGTCCGATTTTCAAAAAAAGAAACTTATACACGAAGTTTTGGACGTAAAAAGTATTTCCTTAAGATTGGAAGGTGGAAAGGATCCTAATGAAGGACGAGTTGAGGTGAGTCTATAAATAATTATGACCATCCAATGTGGTCTAATAGATGGTCTAATAAATATGGTCTATAGAACTATAAACGTTTTTACTAATTGAATTTTTAAAAGCTTTGTTATATTACAAAAGATTATTGCCGAAATTCAAAATAAGTGCAGCTATTGGACCTCTTTTTCTTTTTTATTGTAATTCCTTTTTTTTGTCTTTGTATAACTAAGTGACCATACTCGTGTTTACGTTTGCAAAATTATGGCTTTATAGTTTGTACAAAAAACTTTTTTACTGTACAGATTTATTACAACGGCACCTGGGGTAGCATATGTGCAGACGGTTGGACGTTATACGAAGCTTCAGTAATTTGCAGGCATCTAGCCCTAGGTTTTGCCAGTCAAGCTCTACAAACAGACTACTTTGGTGGTTCCAAGATCGTCATGAGTGGTATAGAATGCTCTGGAAATGAGAATAACCTATTTTTATGCCGTCATGGTGAATACGGCATTGTTAAATGTCCTGGAGAAAAAGGTGAATCAAAAGCAGTTGATATTACCCTATTTTTGATACTTATTGAATTAATTTAATTGATAATTCTAATTGGGCAACACTTGTTAGTTTTATTGTTGCCTGCACCATGTAGGCCGGATAGTAGAATGTGCCTCTGTACCGTAGGTATACCTTCCTAACTCGGGCTACCGCCGTTTTTAGAGTTTATGTAATTATGAATTGTAGTTCTAGTCACGCATACATTATACACAAAAACTCACCCATACACATACGTACATACGTGCGATATAATTGATATATAAATTTTTTTACATCTAATACTTACATTTTCTTGGTTGTTTACCCTTCTTATGATTATTGAATCAAAAAGATTTGTAAACATTATAAGTTTCTATAATCGACGTCAATGCTGCATACTTATTCATTTCATATTCGTTCGTCCTTTTAAACTATATTGTAAAAATCTAAATTAAATTATATTGTAAAAATGTGAAGCTGAAAAATAAATTTAAATTTATTTGCCAATTTATTTAAAATAAAAATACTTTTACATACACATGTCTTAAACTTAACTGACTTCCATTCATTCACACAAGGAAAACTCACAGTCAGCGAAGCAAAACGATAAAGTGACGAAAAGAAGACATTAGCCATTAGTACACATCTGGCGGTCCTCAATGTAGAGCATTTTTACTACAAAACTTTGCCGTTTTAGTAGATGTTCAAAAAAGTAGAAAAAAATAACTAACACGACAAATAATTTAAGAATATCGAAACACTACTGTTGTCTTATAAGTTCGCTGCTTTTGACAGCTTGAAAATAATACGTCTAAATTACATCCCCGCACCGATTGACTAGTAAGAACCATAGAATATTTCTTACTTCATTTTCTTCGCAATTTCATTTACTTTTACTAGTAGTATCATAAACAGTAGATTTTATTGGGCGACAGTACCTGACTTGCACATACGAATGCTTACTGGTGCTTTTGAGTTCAATCTCTTAATATAATATGCGATAGGTCTAAAAATTCTCGGACATAATCTGCGCTGCACTTCGTCAAATGTGTACTGCCTCTATATCTCAAAAAATCAACATCGATTAAGTCGCATAACTAGAAATACATTCCAGTTAAATTTTATAATAATCTACGTAGACTTAAATATACAAATTAGTTTTCTAATCTATCCTTAAGACCTTAGTCTTACTGACATATGTTATTATTGCAATTAAATGAAAAAATATTTATATACTTCTAAAAACTAGCAACTGTCTAGAATTATTAATTAACACCAAAATAACAGATTATTTTGTTTAATTCAACTGTCAAATGACTCTTTTGAGAATTCTGGTCTCTTGGTTGACTTTAACTATGTTAATACTGTTACGACTTAGGGCTCTGGATAAAAATTAACGCCAATTATGTTCACAATCCAATTATATTTGACACAATAAAATTATAACAACAATCCAACTACAAAATTCACACTTCAACTTCACTATTTAGAATAGAATAGACTAGATATTTATTTGCCTTTAAATAGGGTACAATTTGATAGGAATTAATTAAAATAAAATTTGAACTTAAAACCTATTTAGCCATACAAAGATAGCATGCAAATATTAAATTTAATAAATTTTTCATTTCCGGTAAAAACAATCAAATTATTATCAAAATTAATAAAATACGATTTTTATACAAAATTAACAAATTCACTAAAATTACCATAATCATTATCATTTTGAAGATAAAATGTCACAATAATAAATGTCAAGATAAAGAATTTCGTAATTAATAGCGTCAAATCAATAAAAAAAATACAAATCATATAGCAATTAAACTTTGTGTTAACTTACCCACTGAATACTTACTATATGTTAATGACTTAAGTAATTTGCTTGAGAGGGGGTCTGTATATCAGTTTGCTGACGATACTTGCATAGTAACGGCCCATTCAGATCTCGCTGTAGCGGAGCGTCTATCGCAACGCAGCTTCAACCTGATATGCAAATGGGCTCATGATACCGGTCTTGTAATAAACGCGCAAAAAACAAAAGCCATTCATATCCACTCGCCATTTTTCAGAAAAATATTTACACCATCTATTATCGCCCATGGACACTCATGCCTTCATAAGGTAAATATGCAATGTTCATGTCCAAAAATTGAATTCGTAACTCAACATATGTATATCGTTCTTATAATTGATAACAGATTTAACTGGGTTCCACATATCGGATATGTATGTGAGAAATTAAGGGCTATAACATCTAAACTATCTATTCTACGATACAAAATACCTTACATGACCTTGAGAACTTTATATATGGCCTTGGCTAACAGTGTGATCGGATATGGGTTAAGTAGTTATGGAAGAACGTTCAAAACACACTTGATTAATATCTATAACCTACAGTTAAAATTACTAAAGTTAATAGTTCCGAAAAAAATAAAAACAAACTTTTTAAATGATTTAGATTTATTTAATTATTGTGGGGTCTTGCCAATATATAATAGTGTGAGGCTCGCCATATTGATTGATGAACATCACAATAGCAATGAATTGATTGCCTATACTCGACCAAAGACATTGAGAAAGTTACAAAAATCAAAGAAATATGTGTTACCTAAATTTAATAACTATTATGGAAAAAGAAATTGGAAATATTTGTTACCGGCGATATTGAATGAAATGACTGATGAATCTGTATCTTATTATGTGAATAAGCGTAATTATAAAAAATATCTGAAAAAATACTTTCTACATAAAAGTAAGAATGATTACATTATATAAAATTATGTTCTCATCTATTGCTAAGTAAGATTAACTTGCTTGAAATACCTTATGTCAATTGCATTGTTAAATAATAAAAATAACGTTATGTAACTATCTAATATACCTTGATAAATTATTGTAATTATTTTAGGAACGTTGTATTTGAACTCCACGGCCACTGATAAACCCGAAAGGGCTTTTGTGCGCTTATGATGTACTTTTGCATGCAAAAAAAATTGTATATTTTTGGACAATAAAAAAAAAATATATATATATAGCTTTGGATATTAATTTATCTAGCAGCATGGTTTAAAAAATCATCAATAGAATAAAATGCCATTTCCAATAACCATTTACGTAAAGTAGAATTGAATCGGTTAGACGGTAATAGTTTGAAATTATTGGGTATTTTGTTATATATTTTTTGGCACATGGCGTAACTGCTATTCTAAAATCTTTGAGTTTTAGGGATGAATTTCAAAACTAGTCTTTCAGGGTTTCTTCTTAATCTTTGGCTCAAATCCTGTGCTTGTGTAAACTTTTTACTATTTAATTTTACAAATATACAAACTTCTAAAATATAAATACAGGGCAGTGTCAAAATTTGGAGAGTTTTAAAGTAAGGCTTGCAAGAAATATCCGGCTTTAGATTACATATAGCACGAATGCATCTTTTTTGAGCAATAAAAAGAATTTTAGTATCAGTGCCCTTTCCCCAAATTAATAAACCATATCTTAAGATGGATTCTACATATGCGAAATAGGCCATGATAGCCGTATTTACACTTGCTACTTTTGTAAGTTTATATAACGCGAAGGAAAAGGAGTTGACTTTATTGCACACTTTTTCTATATGCTCTTTCCAACTGAATTTAGGATCAACTATTAAGCCTAGAAATTTTACATTTGGAGCACTCTGTAGAGTTTGTCCATTAAAAGATACGTCTACTGATTGATTTTTAAAATTAATTATATTAGTTTTTGCTAAATTTACCTTAAGATGTTATTCTGAAGCCAATTTATAATTGATGTCATTGTATTTGTGATGTCAAGTTTGTGTTGTTCTTAGGTACTTTTCGTTGAAACAATAATGGAAATATCATCAGCAAATAGTACCGTCTTAAATGTTGTTATGTCAGGTAAATCATTTATGTAGAGCAAAAACAACAAAGGGCCTAGAACACTGCCTTGAGGAACGCCACATTTATTATGTTTTGGTTTAGATCTGTAAAGGTGAATTGTATTTTTTTTGTCAATATGTGGTATCTCTACGAATTGCATTCTGTTAGATAAGTAGGAATCCAACCAGTTTAATGCAGGACCCCTTAATCCATAACATTCCAGTTTTTTTAATAGTATTTTATGAAAAACACAGTCAAAAACATTAGATATATCAAGGAATATTACTGTTGTATAGTATTTCATATTTACATTTAACATAACTTCATTTACTAGTCAAAAGCTGCTTCAATCTTCAATCTTCAATCTTCAATCAAATCAAAAGCTTGCTATCTTGTCAAAAGCTGCATGAGTTGTTGATTAATTTTTTTTGGAAACCATATTGGTTGTCCTTGATGATTTTAAATTTTGTGAGGAAATTAGTAAGTTGTTCATGCATGACCTTTTCAAATATTTTAGATATGACAGGTAATATTGCTATTGGACGATAATTGCATATGTCATATTCGTCACCCTTTTTAAACAACGGTTTCACAATTGCCATTTTCAATTTATCGGGAAATTTTCCTGTTTGTAGAGACAGGTTTATCAGAAAAGCTAAAACACTGCATAGTGCATTTCTACACAGCTTTAAGACTTTGATGCATACGGAATCATAGCCTTCTGACTGTGAATTTTTCAATGTCAGAATAATTTTGCTTATTTCATTTGCAGTTACTGGTGATAGAAATATACTATTTTGCAAAACTGTATTTAAAGAGTAATAATTTTTATGGTCAATATTTACTGTACTATTATGTATAAAATTATTATTAAATATTGATGCAATTGTCGTTGGATTCGTTATTTCAGTATTGTTATGGGTGATTTTATTTATATATCTATTACGGTTCGATGTTTCAGAAGTTTCATTCCTTATAACCTTCCATGTCGCTTTACAGATATTGTTACTGTTACTAATAAATTTTTTATTTGATATCTTTTTGGAATAACTAATACATTTTTTTAACAATTTACTATATTTATTATAACTCCATCTATTATTACTATTTTTATTTGTGTAATATTTATAACGGAGTTTCCTTTTTGTGATGCTACTTATTTTTAGGCCTTTAGAGATCCATTTAAGCTTGAAGGAAGAATTATGTTTATGTTTTGCTACTGGAAAACACAAATTGTACAAAAGAGTGAAAATGTCGTAGAATTCATTGAATGCAATATTTATATCTTTTTTATTAAAAACATTTGAAAATTTGACGTAACTAATAAGACTTCACAACACTATTCCGCTCTTGTTTTCGCTTCTTCTCCGATCATTTGTTCACTGTAGAATGCTGGGATAGTCGGTCGGAGTCCACCGCGCATTTACACCGATTACCGATACCACATCTAAAACGTTCAAAATTAGGACCTAGAACATTCGAAGCATTACCAAAAAGTTCTAGAACAGCTACCCGACCCTTTCTTCCCGATTGACTGCCTACTTCCTGGGGGAGGAGGGGGGGGGGGGGGGTTATGTCAGACTCCTACTGACTAAACACCGCCTTGCACAGCTGGTTACATGCCCGGAGGCAACGAACCTTCGACCGGAGCGACCGCCCCCCCCCTATTGTGACATCGAGATGTTTGACTGCCTCTTTATCGTCGAGCTGATGCCTATACGTCACAGGTAGTTTCAATAGTGTTAGCGCGATTCGTTAGCGCATAACGCCATCTAGTAATGCGTAGACGCACCGCGCTGATGCACTCCGTAACAACTATACATTGTCAATTTCTGGATTGCTTTAGGGCATGTTGCTGCAGTGGTTTGCACGCGGCACCTGGCTGACTTGGTGCTGGAGACTACAGTCATTGAGAGGACGTCCCATCTTCAAGATGTACCGATGTACCAATTGCAATGCGCCATGGAAGAGAATTGTCTCAGCAAAACTGCTTACGAGGTTAAAACAGTATGATAACTTTAGTTTTTATCAAATAGGTAGCTAAAGCACTTACCATACAGGTAAGGTGCCAAAACATTTCTACCGTTCACTTCATTTTCTACGTTAACCTGAATCGAACTTCAAAATGTCTCCCCGTAAGGATTCAAAGGGAGACTTTGAAACGTTACAAATTTTTGACTTTTGATATTATAGTTTGTATATATCTTATAATAAATCATAATCTTATAGTTTGATATTATACAATTTTTTAAGAAAGTATTTGTAAAGCTATCCTACTTATTTATATTTTTTGTCAAATATGGATTACGAAAGTTTTGTGTCGAAAATTTAAATCGAAGCGAAGTTTGGGTAGACAAATTGGCAACAAAACAATCTATTATTATAACAAAGTTTTGAGATTCCCCTTCTCCCTGTCATATTTTACCAAGCTAAATCAAAGCGGATTTAAATTAATTTCACGGTTATATATTTTCAAATGGAATAAGAAACTGTAAATTTTACCTTTACATTGATTTAAAACGTAGCTTACGCACATTTTTTCCAAATCGATGGACTTCTTCTGAAGTAGCCACTATCATAAAAAAAATGCTTTTTCAAAACCGCCGCGTTAACATAATTAAACAAAATTTTAATCTGTCACCATTTGTGTATGTGAATTTATTTTTCGATGGTAAACAGTAGTATGTAGTATTTACAGGTTATATTTCTTTTGTTATTTTATTTAGTTAAATATCCTATTTTTAACGAAAAAATCATACTGATACTAAGGTACCTAGGTCGAATATGGCCAGCCGAAAAATATAGCCACATACCATTATTACAAACACTAAATATTTTAATAACCTAAACGCGGCCATAAATTGTCGCTAGTGTCGCATGTATCCGAACGGAGTACCTGTTAACCCTTCCCGCGCCCTGCTGGTCGTCCAGTGTCGGTTAAAGCAAAACAACTGTACAGGTTATAAAAAACTTAAGTAAGTATTGTTCTGTATTTTATTATTCTTCGAATAAGAATATTTGTAAATCATATTACGATGTTGTGTGACGATTGTGATTTGATATTTCTTTGTTTAATTATCAAAATAATAGTGGGTTTTTCATTCATAAATATGAAAACGTAAATATGCGTAACGGCAAATATGGCTTCAAAATAAAGTGTTTGGCCATATTTCCGGTACTAAAACTATAAGAAAAAAAATACTAACAAATTTTTGTTTTAGACTGCCGCGCTATATAGCAAAAGGGATTCGAGGTAATTGATCAGAAGCATTAATAATAGTAGCTCGGTGGCGTAGTGGATAAGCGCCGCGGCCCGCGATCGTTGTCGTTAAGCAACTTTCGCAAGGGTCGGTCACGGGATGGGTGACCAAAAAATTATTATCTCGAGCTACTCCGTGCTTCGGAAGGCACGTTAAGCCGTTGGTCCCGGCTGCATTTGCAGTCGTTAATACCCTCCAATCCTCATTGGGCCAGCGTGGAGGGTCATGGCCCATCCTCCTTAACCATCCATAAGGAAGGCCTGAGCCCCTGCAGTGGGGACGTAAAAGGGCTGATGATGATGATGATGATCATTTTCATGAACAGGTAATATTATCATGCTTTGGTATTTCCTAAAAAATCTGCGACAAATATAGCACTATCGCATTAGAGGTTGATTGAAATTGGTATTATTTTATTGTACCACTAAAGTGTTAGATGTTGTAGAATCTGCTTTAGTAGTATGTCAAAGCGTGTGATTCAATTTTGTTATTTCAGAATAAGCAAATTTGTTGCTCTATATTCAAGAAGGTCCGAGAGCTCCGAGATACGTTATTTTTTTGCATACGACGATGACTCAGATTTTCCCTAAAGAGGTTATACAAGTGGCATTTAGTTATGCTTTTGTTTAAGTTTTTGGGCGTAAAACATTATTGTTATGATATTGTTATTATATAATGTGGTAGATTTTATAATAAGAAGCTATTCAGTAGCAGTAGCGTAGTGAGAAATCTATCCGATATCTCAAATAAAATCATGATACTGTTTTATTATTAAGAAAAGTTATCGATTGCGTTTGCATCTGTTTCTCTTTAAAGTCGCCATCATTTGCCAAGAAGCATTTTAAGTTGTCGCCCATTATCCGACTTTTGAGTGTTACAGCTCTCAAATAAGGGTTTCTGGGTAAATGCATTGCTATGGAGTAGCTCGGTGGCGTAGTGGATTAGCGCCGCGGCCCGTGATCGTAGTCGTAAAGCAACTTTCACAAGGGTCGGTCACGGGATGGGTGACCAAAAATTTATTATCTCGAGCTACTCCGTGCTTCGGAAGGCACGTTAAGCCGTTGGTCCCGGCTGCATTTGCAGTCGTTAATACCCTCCAATCCGCATTGGGCCAGCGTGGGGGGTCATGGCCCATCCTCCTTAACCATCCATAAGGAAGGCCTGAGCCCCTGCAGTGGGGACGTAAAAGGGCTGATGATGATGATGATGATTAATAAAACAAACTTTAACTGCAGTCAAAAGCGCTAAGATGAAAGAAAATACGGCTGCAAATCATTATAATGTGCCAAAGTGTACTTTAAGGCGTTATTTACCATAGAAAAAAGAAACAGAACCTACTTTGGGACCGAAACCACTTCTTAACCCTGATCAAGAGAAAATTTTATCATCCCGAGTTATTCGTCTGTGCAACGTGGGATACCCATTAACACAACGTGTCCTACGCGTTTAAGAAAAAAATTTTGTATCTCATTGTTGATTGTTGATTTTCAATTTCTTGTTTCTTTATTTGTACATATTGCCAAAAGAATATATTTTATTAAATAAATGCTCTAGAAAAACATAATAACCCTTTTTATTTCATATTATTTAGAAGATATTTAAATATGTAAATTGATACAGTAAATATGGCCACATACAGGGCATATTTACCTACCTCATCGGAAATATGGCCAAATTCTAAATTTTAAAAAAATGTTGAAATTACTTTTTGTGGTTTCAAGTCTTTGTATTTTTTCGCCTTTATTATAAAGATAAATAGCCACTCTTTATGAATGTGTGCTAAAACTAATTTGTTTTAGCTTTATTATTATTAAAAAAGGACTACAAACCTTAACGTGGCCATATTCGACCCAGGTACCTTAAAAAATCGAAAGTTTGCGGGAATGTATTGATAATTACTACTATATTGTCTTAAACAATAATTAATGTTGGTGACCCGCTACGCAAACCTTTTTGGCATGTTTATTTTCTAAATTCTCAGTTTTTAAATAAATGTCATTCATACTTTTAGACTTACGAAAATAAATGTAAAAACATCAGTGTGAGATTACTAATATACGGTTGTGACGGTGTGTTTTCGTGGTTTCCTTTAAAATTACCTAGTAGCCAGATTTCTATCTTTTTCAATTACTGATCGGATTTTGTTGGAAGTTTACGGATGATTCAAAGCTAAGTAAACATATAGCCTATTTTATTGCTGGCAGAAAGTTGTGTACTATACAAATGTAACAACAACGTCCATAATAAGTCATTACAACATTATTTCACAGATAAAAGAAAAGAACCCTGACTGGCAGTTCGAAACGCGACGGTTACTCCGATTCACAGCATCCTCTCTGAATATTGGCAATGATGAATTCAGACCATATTTGCCAAAACATCTTTGGCAATGGCATTTATGTCACATGTAAGTTTCAAAAGCATAAAAAACTATGTGGTGTACCGGTTAGTGATTTAGCGTATTTATTTAGGTTAGTGGGTTTGCTGGTCTTTGAATTGGTGTTCCGAAAGGAAATTTTAGCCGTTGCTTGGTGCCAATATAACAGCCATTAGCGTCATTAGTCCGTGATGGGTCCGCGCATTTTACTAACTGAACCCGAATGCCTACTCAGGCTTTCCAAAAACAAAGTTTAATTTTTCGATAATTTATGATGCAAAGAAGGTAGGACCTAATATTGCCTCCAATGCACATATAATGTGCAAGGATATGATTTTAACAAAATTTGAATGAAAAATCACTCACTGACTCACTCACAAGAACTACAAGTGATAGAAGTTTCTAATGTTGTATCGGAGCTTCTTTTTAGGATGTAGTTGCTCACAAAGACAGAATTTTGTGAAATTTTACACCTAAAGCGTAGTGTTTAGGGTTGCTTAATGATTCCTGGACGTAGCCGCTTGCGAAAAGCTAATTATTAATAAACGAATTACTAATGTCAAACCATTAAAACTAATTATAGTAAATTTCCAAATTGACTTCTAAGTCCTTAAATAAATCTTAAAATTCAAGATTCTTAAGCTTTTAACACGCTTAATTATTCTTGTGCCTCGTTTGCGTGCCCTTGTTCTTAATTCAATTTGGGATTATCTGTACTTTCCACTGTCTCAAGATGTTAGTTTATTTTATAAAATTATCAACATACAATATTATTACTGATTATATTTAATGTAATTCTTGAACTTCACTGCTAATTTATTTATTTATTATATTACATTATAAAATCGCTACTATAAATTAATATAGATCTAGCATTGCATTAATAAATCATTATAATCAATCACAGTTTATAATATTAAGAGCTTATGCAAATTATTCCAAATTGTTATAAATTAATTGTTAAAATGCAGAAAATTGTATGGTATTATATACTCTATAAATGACCGATTTCTTCTTAGAATTGTTTTGTAATTAAACAGCTCTAATCTAGAGACAAACTCGAAAATCAATATAACGAATATATCATTTTCAGGAAAAAATATTCAAATAGATCCTTATTACCCGATGCAATGTGTCCCCCTTATTACATTTAATCAATCAGGTTTCGGTTTCGTACCCTAAAGGGTAAAACGGGACCCTATTACTAAGACTCGGCTGTTCATAATGAATGAATGAATGAATGAACACTTTATTGTACTTGAAAAGAAAAATCAACATAACAATTACTAACAATAAACAGTTACTGTATTTCCGTTGCCGCTCTAACAACGATTAAACAGAATAAAATGAAATATTTAAGAGGGGATTCCCATGAAACGTGATTTTTTTGCGTTTTCCATAATAGCATGGCACCCTTTGGGCGCGAATCCTACTCGCACTTGTCGGTCTTTTAACCATATTATCAATATTGAATTACGGTTCCGTTTATATTTTATGTAAATAAAAATAGATTTTCTTGTTTCTTGTTTTCTTCACTGAAAAGGCTGTAATTCATATGTCACAGGCATTATCACAGCATGGAAGTGTTCGCAACCTTCGATATTTTGAATAAAACTGGATATAGAGTGGCGGAAGGGCACAAAGCTTCGTTCTGTTTAGAAGACAACACATGCCTTCCTGGCGTTAAAAAGAAATACTCCTGCAAGAATTATGGAGACCAAGGTAACATTCATTTTATAGGTAACATTTATTATGATTAATCCAAGAGATTATCTTTATAATAAGACCATTTTAGATAACGTGTAATATTTCATTCAACTAATTTGCTATAAACCTTTTGTATATTTGAACAATTGTAATATTTATCTTAAAAATAATCCTAAAAAATTTATCAGTCAAGTATCTCCAATTCATAAGTAGCCCAGTATCTACGATATTTAGAGCAGTTGCCCGATTGCGAAAAGTTATAGTTCGTAGCTTATCTCAGGGTATCTGGGAATAGTTAATTTTTAAGCATTTATCATTATGATAGATATATCCTTCTCTCAAATTTCATACGAGTTTTAGGAAACACATCAGAGTCGTCAATTAAATCTGAACGGAAACGTTTACAACAACGACATGGCAAAATACAGTTATTTAAAGCGTAATACAATCAACGAAGCGACTCTTAAGTTATCTGTTCATATTCAGATCACCCGTTACGATCTGACCTTTATGAAAGTAAATCGTCCAATCAAGCATGATGCAAGAAAACAATTTTGAAATTATCTTCCGTCTATTGACAAAATGTGTTAAGAACCAAGCTTAACAGAAAAAACTAGTTACGAATTCGAAAATTAATAAATAAGATTTCAGCTTAGTCTAAAGTATACATATGAATCCGGCGTTGACCTATAAGTTAGCAGCAGAAAGTTTACGAGATCCATATGATATCACGATGCATCTAAACTGAATTAATGGAATTCTCTTAAATGATATAGTACTTAAAAAATATATTACATTTAGGTGCTATTATGTCTTTAGTGTCTCAATTGAAGTTGATAATTGTAGAACCGACGTCTACAACTATGATCTAAAAACTAATCGATATTATAAGATTTTGATATACAAAATAAGATTTAAACTCAAAATATGATTCCAGGTGTATCCGTGAATTGTTCCGATGTCTACCAGTATAACATTGACTGTCAATGGGTAGATGTGACCGATGTTGAGCCAGGGGATTACACTTTCAAAGTAAGTAACATCAAAGCAATTTTATAAGACTTTGTCAGCCGTGGCCGCCAGGGTAACATTCTTTTTTTTTACATTTAATTCCCTATTTCCATAGAGTGGTAAAAAAGATCTATATTAACCTTTGTGACTGATTGTACTTTTACGGTATTCTACAAATCGATTTAATTCTATAACATTAAAGATAAATTTTAATAACACGTCTCTGTTATAATTGTTGTAATATACGATTATGTTCTAATATTTTGTTTTTATGAAAATCACTAATACTTTATTCGATATGAATATAAAAAAAATCTTTAATTTAATACGAAGAAAAAAATATACAATATTTTTTTCAAAATATGAAATAACATTCCCTTTAATAACCTATTTTTGTTAACGATTATCCTGAGACTCCTAGAAAGTGATTTCTAACTCATTTATTTATAAAAACACAATGTATAAAGTTGTGTACATACTACAGACACGGCAAATACCTTTAAAATCTTTATTATACATCGTATTAATACTTGAAACTTTTTAAATGGAAAGTTATAGAGAAAAACGTTATTATTTTAGACACCTATTTACTTTTCTATATAAATAATAAAGAGATCATCATCATCATCATCATCACCAGCCTTTTTACGTCCCCACTGCAGGGGCTCAGGCCTTCCTTATGGATGGTTAAGGAGGATGGGCCATGACCCTCCACGCTGGCCCAATGCGGATTGGAGGATATTAACGACTGCAAATGCAGCCGGGACCAACGGCTTAACGTGCCTTCCGAAGCACGGAGTAGCTCGAGATAATAATTTTTGGTCACCCATCCCGTGACCGACCCTTGCGAAAGTTACTTAACGACAACGATCGCGGGCCGCGGCGCTTATCCACTACGCCACCGAGCTACTCAGCTATAAAGAGATACCAAAATATTATTAAATATCAAGTCCCAATCAATTTAAGTTTTTACAAATACATATTTCACCAGTTATTTATCTCAAGTCAAATTAAAATGACATTAACTTCCCATTTACATATTTTCTTTGACATAACTTCACATAATTAAACCAAACTGATTTTCTTTCCGTTATCTTAAGCAAATACGAAACTGTGACTGGTATATCGCGATGGTGACTTCCCATCTTTTAGTTTTAAAGAAATAGTACCAACACTGATACCCTATTCTTAATACCAGTGGTGTAACTACAGGGTGGCAAGTCGGAAAAATGCCACGGGCCCCTAGCTGGAAGGGACCCCCGGTGAGAAGAGACTCCTTACTCCTGACATTTATTATTAAGCAATTAGTAAAAAAATGGTATATCCGATAAATTTGCCACGGGCCTCAAACGGTATAGTTACGCCACTGCTCAATACCCTACACGTGGTAAGGTAAACACGCTTGGTATAGTATCGGATTACATTTATACATTCCATGTCAAAATACGGATGGTTTACGCAGAGCCGATCTTAGGGTCAGTCGGGAAATTGAGCAGAATCTACATAACGAAATTAGTGTCACGAAACTAAAAACAAGTTTCACGTATAGAACGCAATTAGATAGTTTTCTTTTAAGCATATTATATCTGAAAATTATCAAGTTGTTATTAACATCATATTTGAATAAACATATTTTGACTTTGAATAGCTAGCTCGGTGGCGTAATGGATGAACGCCGCGGCCTGTAATGCAACTTTCGCAATTGTCGGTCACGAGATGGGTGACCAAATAATTATTATCTCGAGCTACTCCGTGCTTAAGAAGACTCGTGAAGCCGTTGGTCCTGGCTGCATTTGCAGTCGTTAATACCGTCCAATCCGAATTGTGCAGCCTTCTTTCCGCCTTAACCATCCTTAATGAAGGCCCGAGTCCCTGCTGTGGGAACGTAAAAGGACGATAATAGTAATGAATTTGACTTTGATGAACCTAATTTCGGCACATGTGAAACTACTTTCGTAATATCGTGCCATTATACGTGATAAACTTACACGTGCAACTGCTAGCGAAATTAATGTAATAAAACTAATGATGTGCAACTCGTCCTGTATTGAATATTCATTACATTTAAAATATAGTAAACATATTTTTTTTCGAATATTTCGACTTTTGCAAATTAATGATTGTCTTCCTTCCTACATACAAATATACAGAAATATTGATCTCGCATTGCCGATTAATAACGAACTAGCTCTAACTTGAGTAATTATGATTTTCCAATGCAAGTTTCTGCCTATACTCTTCTCCAAAATCACAATCCAACTGTCTAACATTCAATTGCACAAACGTCTATTAAAGTTCTCATTAGGTACCTTAAGGTATTACTGATGTTAGGCAGGCATATTAGGTTGTGACGGGTTCGATGATTAGGCAAATGAATAAAAGGCTGACTAAGCTTGAGAACTTGATTAAATTAAGGGAGTTTGGTGAGTAATTTAACTTTATTTTATTTGATTTGATATAGTATATAATTACAACAGGTATTAAGAAATAGATTTAAACACTCTTTAAATAAATTGCTATTGATTGGAATTAAGTATGTATAATGTTTCTAACTCGAAGAATTTTCTCGAACTGACAATTATAAAGAGCATATTGGATTACTCAAAATTTCAGATTACGAAAAGTATATAATAAAAATAAATCATGTCGGAGATGAAAGACAAAAAGTTTGCAAGCGGAAACCTAGAACAAAATTAACAGTGGTACGACGTTAAAAGTCATTACTGACACAAATTTTCAAATTTGGAACATTCGTTAGTACTTAGTCTTGATTAAACAATAAAGGACTTTTGTGCAACTAGGTGTAAACCAGACTCTTTAAAAATGTCAAAGCAACTTTTGCAATTCATATAAGCACTAGACTGAACTATTTTCATATTTCTTTTGATTTCTTCTATAATATTAAAATGTATATATTTGCAGGTGGCGGTAAACCCCCACGCCAGAGTAGCAGAACAACAGTATCATAACAACGCTGCAACGTGTCAGCTGCGACTTACTGACACTTATGCTAGTGTGTACAGATGCGAATTGGGCAGGCCATGAATCTCGACGTTAAGACTAGCCGAAGAAAGCAAGCGAATCGGATTTTTATTTACACCACGCAAATTGATGACCGGGACATTAGAATTATGACGATTCCGCTTGTACTATTGTTCAAAGATTCATTGTATGTTTTTCACACAGATATAATTTTTAAAATATATTTTTCACCAAAGTGAGAATAATCTTTCTGATGATTAGATAGATTATCTAAATTAAAATCGAAAATAGTCACTAGTAAGAAAAACTAACAAATTAACCTGTCTAGTCTTGACGAGTATGTATTATTTCAACAGTTATAATGTAATGAAGAAACTCACATACCGGATATATAACAGACTTATCCCTACTAAATGAAAATAAAAATCCAAGTATCCCAACCAGTGCAAATCGGTGGAGATATGTGGAGTAACAGATTCCATATATCCTTACCAGTAGCTACAATTAGAAAAAAAAACCTAGTGTCCCTACCAATGGCGAGGGGATGTGTCAGTAGGATTAGGGGCTTACACAACATTCGTTAACCCCAAACACGATGCTTACGCTCCTTTTTTTAAACAATCGCGAAAAAAGTCTCCGTAAGTGTAGCATAAAGTATAATGAATATAGGGATAATTCCCTAGGGATTAGCATTGTTAAGAGCCTCCGCTTCGCATAAATCTACACTCGATAAGTAATCAATGCCTTCCCCCTTGTAGAATAAACAACTATTATGTAAGTTATATATCGCACTCCCGGTGCGACACTGTCACTTATGCAAAAATTTAGTTTTTCAGGAGAAGAGTTTTAAACTCTGTAACCTCACAAAACAATGACTTTAGAAGATACAGATGAGATGAATTATATGGAACATAGTTCCGTATGATTCATCTACAAAAGTAACATTATCGCACCAAGTAAAGGGGGCTTTAGGACAATTATTACATATTTAACTAGTTTTTGTATTTTTTGCAAAAGTGTCAGTGTCGCACCGGGGGTGCGATATAGTGAAGTGTAATTATTTCTGACTCATTTATATTTATAAACTTTTTAGCATTAGCAACGTTTAATGATAAGACTAGACAATATCACTAAAGGAAAAGGAATTAAAACAAAACTAATGACTTTCAATTTGTGGTAATTTATTTAAAACCTTATATATATCACAATTAAAACTAATGTCTACGAACATGAGCATAGGATCCACATTTTATATTGGCCCTTACATAATATTTATTTGTACATTATAGTGGCAACCACATAACATAAAAACTATAATTAACTGAGCCATTTCTAACATTAATAAATCATTACTAAAGAATTATCAAACTTTTTAACTTGACCTAAAGCAAAGTCTGTAATAAAATAATAATATACTTAACCAAAAACTTGTCACAAAAATATCAATTTAAACTTTCAATCGGATAGATTTATCAAGAGTAAAAAAAAATTCATCTTTCAAAGTTTGACAATAATAATAACCCAACTTTTCTTTATTAATATTTTACTAAAACCTAAACCAGTCACATATAAATAATACTAAAACTAGACTAATACCTCGTAATAAAAAGGACGCAAGGCACAAAATAACTTAAAAAAGAGGTTTTTCATTTTTTTTTTAATAGCAATAGTATATCGATCTTAATTTTCTTATATCTTCTATCACATCATAAATAAATACAAATGTGGCAAGATTAAAGAGACAACAGATAAGTCTCTTTGTACTTTTCAACTCTGAAGTATATCTAATCCTACCTAGTATTAAATTATCACCATTTTTATTTATATAAGTATTTAATTGGTATTCTCACATCTTTATACTATTTCACTTCTATATAGTGCTCAAAATGCGTCATTGTAATAAAAAAAGATGGCGCTGGGTACATCCGGTAATAATAACTTCAGATATTAGCGTCGGTGTATCTGACGTAAGATAAGTTACGTCCCGTCGGCTGCGGAACGTCAGAGATACGACCGTCTAATTCCCTAGCCATGACTCTAGCCATAGGATACGATACTTTAGCGATGTTAAGGCGTTATTTAATTAAAGTTTACTAGTTTGTAGTATTTATTATAGATTTAACAAAAGCGTTACTAACTTCCTCGTTTATCCACCAAATAACATGTCAAAGTAGTAAAATGAAAAAAATATCGCGAGAATACGATGTATAATCCTAAAACTAGACCCATGGCTACAGAGTACGGTCGTATCCCAACTGCTTTTGATTTTTGCACACTCGACAGATGATCCGTCTCACAGCTCTCTGAACCCTTGACAGATTTTCCATCAGATTTACACAGACCCTTAAAGTTATTATATAATAAAATAATAACTTAGCAACACTATTTTGACAGATTTTTTTATCACATTGAGAAAACAATTTCAAAGATAAATTATGCTACTACGTGAGGAGCCTTAATGGAAACTTACTGTAATAATGTCAGTATATATGTACTTTGGTGTGTGTAAAGTTCTTTTATGCAGAATCAATGAAAAATAAGAATCACCTATAATTATTTTATGTAACAAAATACCGAACTGTAATTTGTTTTAAGGCTGACAAACTTTAAAATAAGTTAGAAGACTGAAAGTCAGTTTAAATGACACAATTATAGAGCTCACATTTCAATAGCTTAGTGTGAGTCGAAATGGTGACATCTCCTGAATAATATACGCTAGAACTAGATTGAGGACAGTAAGCATTGGCATTTACAAACAAACTAAAATAAAGGGTTATTATGCCTTGATTATTTTGGCCCGAATTTATTAATGTTTCCTGAATTGTATTAATTTCAAAATCATAACAATTGAAATAAGTTTATTGTAAATTCTAAAATTTTAGAGAATATAACTAAATATTAGGAACAGTACAGGAGTTTGCTGATTGAATGACATTATTAGTATAAAAGAAGAAGGATAAAAAATCTTCACAATACGTACGCCCTAATCAGATCCAGTGAAGACATAGGTAGTATTCAGACTATTCGCTACAATATACTAGAATCTATTCCACAGCCCACAGTTCATGAAAAATATCTATATCATACATTATACAATATAAACAAATTATATATGTAATACAAACCACTTAGCTGTATCAAAGTATAATTACAGTACTTTTATGTGACATTGCAATGTTAACAAATAACTAACTATTGTATTTTAATTGCCTAATGATTGTATTTTTTCAACCCTTTTTAAACTTAAGTAGGCAAATACTCGCCGTCAAGTGCAAGAATATCCAGGCTGTAGTGATGACGAATCCCCAATACACGGAGGGTCTGTCGATGCTCCAGCCTTTTTGAAGCATCGACCTTAGACCCTCAGTACTTTTCGTTAAAGGTAATACGATGCTTATAGCCTTCAAGATGTCATGCATACCTGTAAAAAGTATGTAAACATTTGTAGTCTTATAGAAACTCGTTGTTGTTACTGTTGGATCCAACGCCATATGCCATTATATGGTATCTTCCATATATTATTAGCAGTGGTCGGAATTAGGTAGAGTTAATGATGTACTTACAATGATTTCATACAGCGAAAGAATAAAGTGGATATGCCTCAAATCCCGAGATTAATTTTAAAGACCAGAAAAAATCCCGTGATTTTTTAAATAAAAAGTTATTTACTTTTACACAATTTAAACTACTGCACGCACGACGTTGCCAAACTTACATCAATGAAAGAAAGAAATAAAGAAATCCCGGGAAGGTCCACATTAATATCAACATTTCGATGCAAATACATAAATAATTCTACCTAATTCCGACCTCTGATTATTAGTAAGCCGCTAGCCTCATTGTCGCACTTTTTATCTCATGAAGGTTTATTGACTGACTACTTGTCATTCACGGAATGTTATGCTATAAAATTATAATTTCCATTTATAAAACAATTATTTTTGCATCTCTTTCTTTAAAATACAATCATCATTTACTGATCATTATTGCGCATTATTTTGCGCAATTTTAATATTTCTAATTTTACTTGGGTTTGCTATAAAACCTATGAATTCTTTTCCCAACTCCTCGATCAGTAGTTACCCCAACATTTATCTTTTAACTATAACATCATTCACATAAATCTATTTATTGTTTGGCCTTCTACTTACTTTCCCCGACGAAAACATCTTTTATAAACCACAATTTACTATCATAAATCACAATTATCGATTACCTCTCAAATTTATGTCTGCTACTACTGAAGCTGCCTAATCTCGTCTCGTAAAAAAATATTAATACTAATAAGTTAAAACTGTCGGAGTCTTATTACCTTCTATTGGCCAGATCACTCCACTTAGCAGTGTCATCGGTAAGAAAGATCCTAAGGCCATGTAGGTAGCAGTCTTATCAGTGTCACAGAGTGTTGCTACTACGAATCCTGAAACAATGTTTGTGAACATAAATAATAACGAAATCTATAATAACGAGCACTTGACAGTAAAATTTATTTATAATAAAAGCTAAAATTAGGTTTTAAATAGAAATCGACCATTAAGTTGACTCATTCTTCTTCTTCTTCTTCTTATAATGCCTCTCCAACTAGCGAAGGTTGGCTGTCAATTTAGCAAACTCCTTTCGGTCTTTGGCAGGGTGAAACAACTAAGCACTCCTAATATTACGAAAAAAGTTCGCGCATCATACATTGTAGTTATAATATTTAGTAGTAGTGAAGTAAATATTGTTATGTACCGAATTTCAAGCCGAACCTTTGCCAAGAGTAACTTTAGTGATTTCGTTATCTAAAGTTTTATTTATCTTCTGTATCATTTGAAAATAAATATACGAAAATCTATTAAAATTGAATAAGGACTTACCGAAAGTCATTCCACAAATTCCAGCGAGGAATGTCAGGAACACAACCCATCCGATCGGCCCGTTCTGGCTAAGATCGAACACCACGAACGCGATGATCATAACACCGATAGTCTGGAGCAACATCACAACAAGCTCCACTACTAGCAAGGCAAATAAGATCTCCACACCTGTAAATTAAATTTGTTTGATATTCGACATTATGTATACAAAAAAGCGCCTAAGAATGCTCTTAAAATTATTGAGCTAGATGAGCAGAAGAGAAATCATAATGCATAACATTTAAATATATGTATATTATATAAAAATAATTATTTAGATAATCGTCGTAATATAATGTATTCGAAATATTTATTTGTGAAGTTTTGAGAAGACTAAATAAATTAAATAACCCGATCAAAATAAAAAAATGTAATACAAACAAACAGTGCATATAGTTACACTGGTCGACGGGGTAACTAACTAAGCATTAAGCAATAAGCATGCAAAGCACGCGAAGCGTAGACGTTTTTTTTAGTTTGTGGGCGTTGACTGTTTCCCAGTCATCACCCTTTCAAGACAAATCTTATTTCATTAGGTACAGAGTACGGCTGATATTAATACAATTGAAGATCGTATTTATTATATAGGTGTTAAAAAACCGATAGCGCGATTCATCGTACATATAGCGCCATCTCTTATCCGTTTTATGAACTAATTTCATTAACCTACGCTGATTTCTTTAACTAGGTATAGACACAGATGATATTGTCCTCAAAATATAAAATACAATACAATGCGTTATTTATAAATAATCTTTTCAGTAGTATAAATATACAATTAGTATTTTTACTATAAATAGCATTGCACGATTTATCAAATAAATAACGTTTGTCACATTCTTACCAGTTATACCAGATACCAGTGATCGTTCCAGGGTACCTTCATTTCTCTCAGACAGCAAAGCGCCCGAAGTTAAAGCAACAGCCAAGAAATAAATTACACTGAAAAAAAAAATAATTAGATCCTCCTTTGAATACCTGAGACCAATCAAAATATTCCAAACATAAAGAGTACGAGTGATTATGATTAAATAAATAAATTTAAATACTTGTTATTTACAACTTACGTTAAAATTACACCTGGAGCGGCGAAATCAGTCATATTGGGCATCTTCAGACCGTAAATTGGATCGTGAATCTGTAATAAAACAATGTATTTTGATTTTTTTAATTTAAATTAAAAATAATTTACAGCCAGATTATTGTCGCAATCCTCATATGCACACAAAAACTTCAAACAATTGTTCAATGGAGAATCCAAAACGAGCGAACGTAATCTCGCATGCATACAGGTTATGTTATAATCCCTGCAATTTGCCGACTTGCATATTTCAGGATAGACTAAGCTTTAAAATATTAACACCACAAAAGAAATTGTAAAGCGAGGCTATTGTGCTCGTATTTATTTTACGCCTACGTATGATTATTTGTCTCCGAATTCGAGTGCCAAACTTATTCGGTGGGAGTACATAAAAAGATAAACGTACACATTAAATTTGCTATGCCTTGAGTTGATCATCAAGCAGTGAGCCTCAGAGTCAAATTAGTCTTAAGAACTCCGTGTAATATACTTAATTACTATATTGATAAATAAAGTACAGCTTACATTAGCAGGGAGGGTGAATACTCTCTCAGGGAGGTCACAAGCTACAGACATATTAGTCAAAACGTCCAAGAACGCTTCGGCGAGATCTTTTTTCAACATCCACTTCACTTGTTTGTCTGTAAAATAAACACATAATCATAGTTTTAAAAACGCAAATGGGTAAAGATAAGTCCTCATTATTCTAGTTGTACAGTAATAATACCTACGTAAAGTTTGTAGATGTGATAATTCATTTAAACAAAACCCATTCCGAAGGATGCTTTAAAAACAATCGTTTACGTTTTGCTTTCGCTCTACTTTTAGGGTTCCATACTCAAATGGTCAAATGGGACCTATTAACTAAGACTCAGTTGTCCGTATGTCTATCCACCAGATCATCAGACTGTATTTCATGAACGGTGGTAGCTAGACAGTTAAAATTTTTCCATGTGATGGATGTTTTCTGTTGCCACTACACTGTTCTCGTTTTACTCAGAAATATTAGAAATAAATCTAATAATGTAATATAAGTACGAGTATCTCCCAAATAGATTAAAACGCTTATCTGTTATATAAGTAAATATATTTATTTCTTTTAGCAATAAGTTATTGTTTTCTAATAATATAGAACTAAACCTCTTATCTACCCATATTTAAGTTTTTTTAACGAAAATGAATTAAGGATTAGTATGGAATATGATGAAATAAAAAGAAAACATAAAACATAAATTCATATGTACGCCATTCTCATTACAAATTCAGAACGACTTCTCTCAGAAAATTAACCGATGTTAATTCTCACAAATCAAAAATTTTCTAATATGGAAAAGCAACTTTATGTCCTTCGCTAAAAGGGAGTTTTGTACGCAATTTCTTATTACGAAAAAATAATAAGTATATAATATACTTCGGCTTTTCGATTGGCCCAATAAAAATCTAATTTATATGCAAATTAAGATATAAAATCGTTTGAACGGTAGGCACATGGAGAAGTGCCCTTAATTAATTTGAGTATTAAAACAATGCATACCTTCCCTTTCCATCCCTTTTTTTATGTTAACTCAATGTTTTTAAGTGGAAAAAACGGTCAACAGCAATTTGTTATTGGTAATTTTTTAAATTATAGATCCAGTAATTTCGGAAATCAGCGGCTCCACAGCGTAATTATAAATTGTACGAAATAAATTTGAAAAATTAAGAATATCTGTGTAGATTATCTGCACAGCAGAGGCAAAATTTCTTTGGAGTCGTATTAGCATTTCGAAATTGATAGAATGTCGTTTACGGAGAAATAGAATAGATCTTAAAGTGTCATGTTAATTCGTACGAGTAGTACATTGTCTTGCCGCATTCGCGCTTTAATTTAGTGAAGCACTGTTTCCGGTATTCGTACTTCTTCTGATATTTATATTTCATGCCTTAATATTGGAAATCTAACACCAAACATCAAAGTCCTAACAGTTGATTTTTACATTCCCACTGCAGGTGCTCAGGCCTTTCTGATGGATGGTTAAGGAGCATACTTCTTAACCCACAGGCCATGGCCATCCACGCGGGCCCAATGTTGATTAGAGGGTATTAACGACTGCAAACGCAGCCGGGACCAACGGCTTCTGAAGAGTTTTTGATTTGATTTGACAGAAATTTTTTGTATGCTTAGTATAGATAAATAAATACAAGACAACATAACATTACATACATTCCTTGAATTCCAAATTAAGTAACTAAATTTGTAGTATCAAAGACTCGAATCAAAGAAAAATTCAATATCTACATTAACCCGTCCGGGAATCGAATCCATCAACCTCAGAAACTAGCGTGCGATCCACCCGGCTACAAAGGTTTATTTCCATAACATACCATCCCTTTGAATTTGCATAGAAATTGTAATTGCAACATAATATTTTATTCAAAATGAAGCCACACAAGATCCCAAGTAAGCAATATTACGCTATCAGATAAGAGGGGTAACTGCGACAAACCTGTCACAACGTCAGACAATATTACCATCCGACTCATAAACCTTCACGTACAATAAAGGTTATGAGAGTTCTGCTTATAATAACGTGAAGTATTAAAGATATCATCAGTACCGGATTAAGCCAGGACGGGCTTTGTAGCAAAGTTTTTTGAGCTATCAAAAAATTATAGTACCTACATTATGTAGCTTTTTGTGTATTGTGTAATTGTTATTTGATATTGGACACATATTGCCAACACCGCCATTTTTACAAGCTGAATTCTTTAAAGATAAAAAAGTCATATATAATTATAGTAATAATTGTGTTCTACAAAAATCTCCAAAAAAGTCTAATTTGATGTTTTAGCGGCAAGAGAAATACATCATCTGTGAAAATTTCAACAGTCTAACTATTACGGTTCATGAGATATAACTTGGTGACAGATAGACAGGCAGCGAAGTCTTACCCTTTGTATACGGAACTTTATTAAAACCAAGTAATAAACCAGTAATAATAAACATATACTTACTAACGTTGTCCATGTGCATATGTATGGCAGATGAGTCAACAGTAGAGTTTAATATATCTCGACTGTCCACCATTCTTTGCCGGATACTTTCAGAGAAGTTCGTCGGGAACGTCATCACTACCCACGCTTTGATGTCTTTCGCATTTGCCAAAGCTTCCTCCGTGGTCCGATAGTAATACTACATACAGACAATACACACACACAATAATAAAACATTTCAATGATAAAGTAATGGTTTCAAACCCACTTTATGTAAGCAAATACTTAATGAGACTTATTTATTACGACAATACTAAACCAATCCAAAAAAAAAATGGTCGTAGTAACCATTTATAACCTTTTGCAAGCATATAAATTGTAACTACTTGGAGAATATAATTCGATTGTTTACGGTGCTGTTCCAAACAAAATGGGGCAAAGCATTATTAGGGGAATTTTGATACTTACTAAATTGCTTTGCCGTTGGTGGAGATAATGTAGATATCGGCAGCTGAAGTTCGACATATCCCATTCCCAAGTATCTGGATTCTGAGCACATCCCTGATTGAAATCGCAAAGTAATTCTGTGCTGTTCACGTCATTGTTCACAACTGCTATTGGTAAATCGCTCGGATACCGACCAATGGCGACGCAAAACAGGATCATTTGAAGCATTGGTAGTCCAATGATGAACGCTAACAACCTGAAAAAATTGATACGTTCGAAATTAATATTCATATCCATTCCAGTAAATGTAGTAAATGTAAAAACCATTTACTACTTTTAAAGTACACTTACCCATAATTTCTTAGTAATTGCAATCCATTCCTCCATATCAGAGGTTTCATGTGAATCCATTTCATTGGCTTAATCTTCTCGTAGAGAGAGTAGTGTCGTATTTCCTCTGGAGGCATCTCAACTGGAGCGCAGTCAGGAGTGACCACAACCCTGCCTTTGCTGCTCATGGATACATTGTCCCCAAATTCCCCGGATATTTCTCCAACTTCGGATTCTTCAATTGCAGGTGCTGGGTTCTGTAATGGAAAAAATATTATACATATCTATACTAATATTATATAGCTGAAGAGTTTGTTTGTTTGTTTGAACGCGCTAATCTCAGGAAATACTGGTTCGAATTGAAAAATTCTTTTTGTGTTGAATAGACCATTTATCGAGGAAGGCTTTAGGTTGTATAACATCACGCTGCAACTATTAGCTGCAAGAAATAATGGAAAATGCGGACGAAGTCGCTGGCGGCCACTAGTAACACATAAAGCGCAAATAATTATTTCAATCAGCCTACAGACTTCATTTTTTAAACATCAGTTGGCTTGTGATTTTATTTTTGCCCTTAATAAGGTCTTTATAGATTTATTTTTCGCATATTCTTATATATATTTTTTGTCTTAGTCTATGGGGACCTCTAAGCACTTACCGCTGTCGCAGGAATTTCGACTTTATCAACAATGTCGGCCAGAATGCTGGATCTTCTCCTCTTGCCCCTGTTCTGGATGACGGCTAACTTTAAGAACACGTCCTCTAAAGTTTCCGCCTGATATCGCCGGATAAGTTCCGTTGGTGACTGCTCGGCAAGGAATCTTCCACCTCGCATCAGACCAATCTGGTGAACATAAGTAAATATTAGATGTTACATTTCTGCCCGATTAATTGGAAATAATAGTTCAAAAGTGAAACTAATTAGATAATGTATGCAAAAAATGGACAATTATTTAAAATCGTATTTTTCTGTTTAATATATTTTCATATATGCTACTTACGATGCTTAGATTGTAAAGCGCAAATTCTAAACGATTTGTTGATCTAATACAATGAATTGTAAATCCAAACTAACTTTAACTACCATTATTTGCTAAACGGCTAATACAAGCACGTACAGGCGTAATGTAATTAACTGAATACCAGATTAACGTCTTAGGATAGTTAGTTAATTGTTAGCAAACATTGATATATCTCATTGAACTGGGATAGGAATATAGAACATGGTGGCAAGAAATATCAAAATAACAAATATTTTGTATTTGTAATTTTGATATTTCACGATATTGTACATAAAAAGAAACGTTACGTTAAATAAAGTCGATTAACAAAGCTTCTCAGCACGCCTGACATCGTCACAATTATCAACGGCATAATGGAGGAATTAAGTTCTCTCGCATAGACAAGAAATGGCGCTGCGATACCTGCATCACGCTTACTAAATTTCACCGCAATGTTCAACTTCGAATACACAGTAGCTAACACTCATACACTAATATTCAGCTAGGAGGGTGACAATTCTCATTTAGTCTATCTTACTACCAACAAAAGGACGAATAAGCAGGAGTTAAGACAAATAAGTAGAAAGTATTATTTTGTAAATAAGTACGAGTAGTAATGAACTTATCATCTTTTATAATCGGTCAACCGAATTACTTGCATAGTTATTTAACGATTATTTGATTTCTATAAAATTATCCACTAATTCCCATTTCAAGGTATCCAATTAACTTTTTAAATTAATAAACTTCCCAAGCAAATGAATAAAAGTAGCGCTGCAGTATTTTATTTTCTTTAAGTTTTCATTTTTTAAATTTTACTGACTAAAAGAAATTCTTTGCTCTTTATTTACACTTTAAACGCTTATTACCATTTAATATCACGTTATTGTAACTGTGCGCAACTGTGTAATTTTTATATTTGTAACGAGCAATTACAAGTGCTTCAAAAATTCGTCAGTACTGTTGGGTCTCAGGTAGCTCAATGGTTAGAGCAGTCGGTCGGTCGGATTTCGAAAGGTTGAGGGTTCCGCTTCCAATTAGGATACGTGTTGGGGGTGGATTTTTATTTTGGTGAAATATAGCATAGTGAATGTAAAATTGATCAAATATATATTATAAAACCATCACCATCTTATCATTGTTAATCAAAACGACTGTTATACTATTTCTCACTGAAAAACAATAGATGTCGTTAATTTATTTTTTTTTGAAATCGAAACTATCCTCCGACTTGCGTGATATAGAAATAAAAATGAGTTTCTTTTTTTTATGGGATAGGGGGCAGACGAACACGCGGATCACCTGATGGTAAGTGATTACCGTTGCCCATGGTCACCTGCAACACCAGAGGGGCTACAAGCGCGCTGCCGGCCTTTGACGGACGGCGGACGAATATGATCATAGGGAGGGAAGGGTTGAGGGGTAGAGGGAAGGGAATAGGGAGGGGTTGGGCCTCCGGTACCCTCACTCACACGACGAAACACAACGCAAGCGTTGCTTCACGTCGGTTTTCTGTGAGGCTGTGGTATCACTCCGGTCGAGCCGGCCCATTCATGCAGAAGCGTGGCTCTCCCACATTTAAACTATCATATCTATCATATTATTTGCGGAAGCCCTAAATCATTCATGTAAGTGGACGTATGAAAATACTCACAACATTGGCTTGTTTGGTTTCATCGATGTAATGTGTCGTGATTATAACCGTAGTACGTCCGCCTTTAGTGATCTCGACCAAGTAATCCCATATACTGGAAATAAAAATAAGGCGGTCAGTGTAAATCCATACTAACTCTATCTCTGTGACTGTTAAGTTTGCACGCCTAAACAACTGAACCAATTTTGATGAAATGGCACACAGATAAAGTAGACTTTGGGAAAGGACATATGAAAAGTACTTTAGAATACCCGCAATTTTTTTTCCCTTTCCATTCAGGATATCTTTTGCCTGACAAGAAAAACAGGCAGCAGAAACCTATCAGCTGCTTACCAGAAGTAAAGAGTTTTACGTCAATCTTGTCATTTTAAAAGAAAACTTAATCTGACGACATAAAGTTTCAGTAATTCGTCCTATTGCTAAGTATATATTCATGCTGGCCCAATGTGGATTGGAAGGTATTAACGACTCCTGGACCAACGGCTTTACGTGCCTTCCGAAGCACGTAGTAACTCGAGATAATAATTTTTGGTCACCCATTCCGTAACTTAGCCTTGCGAAAGTTGCTTAACAACAACAATAGCGGGCCGCTTGTCCACTATGCTACTGAGCTAATCTTTAGAGTAAATATTATACAACTTTAATTAAATTGTTAATTACTTTTGTCGCAACACTGGATCAACTCCGACGGTGGGCTCGTCCAATATCAAAAGCTCCGGTTTGTGGATGAGGGCAGCGGCAAAAGACACCCGCCTCTGTTGCCCACCAGACAGGAATTTGACATATCTGCAAGTAAAACAATAGCACTGTTTATGTGTCTGGTTCTGACGTTATTTAGAGGAACTTCGAGTTCTGTCATTTTGTTTTCTTTTTTACTTAGTATATAACTTACTCACCCACCCATACCCTTTTATTGTAATACGCGGACTAAACTTAACACTGGATTTAAATCATTAACAGCCAAAAGAAAATCGACAATGACATAATAGAAAAGGTAAATTGAGACCTTTTTTATTTACAATGGGCTCAATCTTGACCTCAATATATCCTAAGGGCATCGATGAGATCTACGGTGCGATGAGTTTGCCCAAAAAGATCCTATTCACTCTTGCCTTAAATAGGTCTGGACTATATGTATATACATGTTAACTTAATTTGGTTGGTGGAGTATTATGATACAAGGGTCTTGCGTCCTATCCGTAAAGTAACTAAAGTTCCTTTGTCTTTAAAATATTAACCCTTGGTTTCACAAAATTGCAGATAAAGTTAAGGTTCATGTCAAATTTGACAATAGCTGTCACACTGACTTTAACATTGACTGTGGAATGCGTTTCACTGTCCCCTTTCTTGGAATAGTAAAAGAATAACTTTTAACAGCAAAACTTAGGAGGTTATAGTTAACAGCCAAAGTTATGAGACAATCCAACCATTGTCAAATAATAACTCATTATTATTTGCTTAACCTGTACTTTAACATATTTCTTATTGTTAAAGTAATTTAGTGCAACTAACTCCAAGAAATAAGTCGCCACTAGTACATTTATCCCATGTGCACACTTTATCTATCCACCTTAAGGTGAACATCCATATGTCATCCAATGTCACATACCGCTTAACACGCAACGTAATATATTAAAATTTCCTATGACGTCAACAGCATAATTCCGACATCAAAACTGACAGTTGCATTTTTCATAGAAGCATCAATGAGTAAATAGGAATGCAGTGGGTGCGTGTCGTGCAATGCGTCTTTAAGTAAGTACTTTAGTGGTAGGTTTAAACCATTATCCGACCAATAATAAGTACTGTAGTTTCTAGGACGAAATGGTGCTGCTGGCGCCATCAATCAGTGCCATTAGGAAACTGCTTCAATTGTGTGAATAGTTTGCTAAGAGTCATGGGCTACAATATAATATTAGTAAAAGTGAATTTATGTTATTTGCACCAAAGGATAAAAAATATAAAAACCTAGAACAGTTACTGAACTGAATGGAAATCCTTTAAATCGGGTCAATCATGTTAAATATTTAGGGCATATTATATGTGATGATTTAAATGATGATATGGACATAGAAAGGGAGCGAAGGGCGTTGACGGTGACAGCTAACATGTTAATCCGTAGGTTTTCCCGTTCTTCACGAGAGGTAAAAATTACACTATTTAAATTATTTTGTCAAAACTTTTACACGGGTAGCCTATACAATGTATATAAGGACAATGTATACTCAAAAAGCGGTCAACGCTCTTCTTGTCCAATACAATAACGCGTTTAGGATGTTGTTGGGACTCCCGCGGTTCTGTAGTGCGTGAGGCATGTTCGCGGAGGCACGCACGGGTTTCAAGCGTGTATACGTAAGAAAATAGCTTCCGTACTATACAGAACACGCATCAGTACCAACATCATCCTACATATTTTAGCTGGAAAATGGGATAGTCCCTTTTTCATACACTGTGCCCGAGTACTGATAAAATAGGAAACTTTTCTGTCAATATTCTATCCTTTATTAATTATTTGAGTGTGTCTACAGCTAAGTTCATACTAACAATACATATCCTATGTTACGTTTTCTCTTCTGATATTGTCAATTTACTTGAAGCGACCTATATTTGGAAACAAGTATTAACTTTATTTTTTATCACTTTAAGACGTATACTCTTTAACCAGAGGATAACCAAGACGCTTTTCAGATTTGATATTAAGTGAAAACAGATGGATATTTTGTTGTTTTTCTGTAGTAGGGAACGAAATTCAACTCACCTTTGTGGATCGGGCAGCTCTAAGAATGTCTCTAAAAATTTGGCATTCTTAACAATTTCCTCTGTTGGCATACCAGCTATCATACCAAAGTATAAGAAAGTCTCCCGTATCGAGAATTCACCAAACAGTGCAATTTCCTGTAAACAGAAAAATATATTTAAAATAACCAATTCTTTTTTTGATGCCTAGTAATTAGGTACCTTATTGTTATAAATCCAATACGACCTTATTCATTACAATAAAAAGTGCTTATATTGCATATTTTTCACTAACATTAACAGCGAAATTTAACATTATATTTTACATACAAATGTTTTGTGATGTATTTTTTTTTATGTATTTGATATTTTGTTTAAATGTAATAATTTTTTTGGCTTCTGTTTTATTCTTGTCGCCTAACATCCAAACTCTAACACCTTTTTCTGGTAGAAAGGCATTTAGTCCGCCGTCTGTGTTTTTAATGCAATAAAGAAAGATAAAAAGACAACAAATTATCAGTATTTTATTTTTTAGATACAATAAAAATGAACCAATTAGTAAAAAGGGTGTTGTCTTTAATTCCCGTGCATTATAAATAATGTCAAACTATTTAGGTACTAAGTCATAGGGCGACATGAGTAATTATGATTTGAACTTCCTAATTTATCACATTGCCTCGATATTATGAATACTGCCATGTGGTGTGGTGGCAATCTGATGAATTAATACACAGCTACATTGTACAGGGTATAGGGGAAGGGATGACATGGAGGACGACAATTGAATCTACGGAAGAGACACATCAAACTAACATCCAACATTACTACTATTTTATTCGCTAATAGAACACAAATATAAAACAAAATCAGTCTCGACACGAAGGTATATAGTTCCAAGTGTAACCAACTATTATGAGAATGGAAAATGATTCTTTAAAACATTTGTACAGCATTATTAACTAAAAACAATGATTACTGATTTTCAAATTGAATTTTGTAAAGAACCTTAACATGGCTGCACATGATTTTGACTTATGATTTTTTATGAATTTTACCTCTACCCTCAACGAATTAAGGTTTAAAATCAAGTGAAGACATTTTTTGTATAATCTGACGTGCTGTTGATAAATACAAGGGACACAGAACAAAGATATAGATGTGGATAGATGTTCAAATAACTCATCCACAGTCAATTTATAAAATTATACAGACTACCAACATCTCAACGTGTAACGAATCACAGAAAATTATACATATTGCACACGAGACGACAAAAGTAATGTTAGGTTCATGATCAACGAAGCGGTTTAAATCCATGACACAATCACGACAAATTATAATTCAAACTAGAGAGAACGACGTAAAAATAAATGCAGAATATAAGTAGCTTATAGATAATATATAAAGAATATTTCTATGACCGTCGATCAGGAGCCTAATTCGGCTAATTATTAAGACTGGGCCCCTTGAAATTAGGTTTACTATCTCAATTTTATTTCTTAATCTATTAGCTAGCTGTTTTCCCGCTATCACTTGTGTAAATGTAGTCTAGGTATGTCACACGAGTCAGAAATTTTATAAAATCTATCAAATAGTTGCGAAACTTATTCAATGCACACAAACAAACAAATGTTTCCTCTTTACAATATTAGGATAGCCAAAAGAATAATTTTAAAACAAGCTTAAAAAATTTGAACACTAAATTGAAACAGAAAAAAAAAATAGGTAAAAAATACGTATTATCCATAAATTTTACCTTCACTAGGTAAATTGACGACCAAATCAAGTGGTAAACGCTGAAGGTAATATAATTGTTGTCATAAATAAACAAAAATATACTGTCAACAAACTAGTTTTTTACGATTTACAAATAGTGATTAATCTTATTCATACTTAATAATAAAAAAAACAGGTTTTTAATTAAAGTTATTGAACTTTGATCGTTATCTTGACGCACGTGATTTAGCTTGTTCAGTCTGCGATGATTTCGCAAGGGCCGGTCATAAGATGAGTAACCAAATATGTATTAAGTTTAACTCCGTGCTTCGGAAAGCACATTGGTGGCGGTTACATTAACAGTCGTTAACTAACACTCACCAGGGGGCCAATTCTACTAAATAAATTTTGTTTAAATCGAATTGAAAACGGATCGAAACCGAACGAAACAACAGTTTTTAATAGTTTTTCTATTATGTCACTATACGTATGTCACTTAATAGAATGTGAAGGGCACACGTAATGGGTCCCACTCGCACCTTGCAATTTCTATTATTTTCCGAAAATAAAAGAAAAATGACTAGGAAAACATTTTTCGAGCGCCGTAGAGAAAGCAGCGGCTGCGTTTCAAAACCTCTAATTTGGCATATATACAAAGTTTCGTTCGGTTTCGATCCGATTTCAACAAAATTTATTTAGTAATATTGGCCCCCTGCGCTGGGCACACGTAATCTCAAGTAAGGCACACGTCACTCGCACCTTGCAATTTCTATTATTTTCCGAAAATAATAGAAAAATGTGTAGGAAAACATTCTTCGAACGTCGCAGAGAAAGCAGCGGCTGCGTTTCAAAACCTCTACTTTGGAATATATACATTACATATACGATAAATGTTGTAATTAATTATCACAACGACTAAATCCGAATACTGAATTTATGGTTATTTGGCTGGAGCCACGATAAAATAGCGTCCATTAATTAATCTTAACAAGACCATTTGTATTGTCAATTGTCGCGTAGTGCAGTGTGCGTATTAAGCGTTGTAAATAATTACCTAACTGTTATCGCAGAATTATTACTATAGAGGTATTGATCGTCTTAAATATATGATACTAACTGTTTTCCCGCGACTTCGCACACGTTAATTATACCTATGTCAACCCCATATGGTGTAGCTACCCGTTGGTGAAAGATATTAAAATCGGTTTCGACAATGAAATCTTTATAATATTAAGTATAAATAAATCTAACTAAATAAACAAAGAACGACTCCAAAAAAGCTTAATTAAAATTAAAAATAATACAATAAACTTTTTGTTAAAAGCTTTTTTGAATCACAAATAAACTTTTTATTATTATTATTACAAGTTTTTATTAGACTTGCTTTGTTAATATGTAAGTTAGTGCCCAAATCTTGGAACTCAGATTGGGAAGTGGGTTACCACTTCCCAATATCCGATAGATTTGAAATTTTGCATAGACATGTAAATTAGATGACAATGTAATATTATGGTGTCAGTAAGCTGATATGATGATGAAACTTATTTATGAAATGACGCAACAACATCGTGTTTGGGTTCGTTAAATTCGTCTTTATGAGGACTTAAGCATCCAGTATGCTTTCCAGAAGCTGGAAGGCGGTCATAGGAACTTAGCAATGAAATAACGCAACTGCATATTGTTTGGGCTATCTGTCTTTATGAGAACAACAACATATTGAGACAAACACCTTGCAATACAGATGCTATATCAGAAATGAATAGAATGGGAAGACAACACTAAAACGTAAAAATATATATATATATATTTTTAAGTTTCTATTATATTTTTATTCATAATATGATTTCTGTGCTATTACGAAGATCCGACGATCGGAGTAAGTTAGACCATACAATTTTCAAATATTAATTTACAATACCCGTATTCCCAATGTTAGTTTCGAAACAACACGGAAAATTTATTCAGGGGCTGCAGTCTCGACATTAATAGCGATACGATCGCAAAGTATCGAATGTCAAATATTAACGAAAATAATTGTTTGCGGTAACGATCGTTACTTCAAATGCAAGTCTCTATCACCGAGTTACCGAGTAAAATCGTAAACTATTCAGACGATAACATAACGAAAATCTGTATTCATAGTGCAGTTCAAGTGCAGTTTCCTAAAGGAGAAAATGTTGCCTCAAACAAAATTATTTTAAATCTAAGGAAATCAAAACAACGTATTTTGTTTTTAAGTAATGATTTCATGTTCAATTTAGCAAATAAAAATATTTAAAAAATGCGTACTAGAAAATGATTGCTTTTTATTTATTTTAAAAGCATAATTTATTATTAAATGTGTTAAATCAATTTGATTATTATTGTAAATTAAAATTTGTTTCCTTGCAACATCTTGATGTCATCGATATGTCAAAACATTATTGTTTATTACGGTTAAGGTGATTCAAATAGATTTCTTAAGATCTTTCATTAATTTCATTTTCATTTTACATGTAGAAATTAATTTATTCACTTGACATTGGCAAAATTGTGCGAAATGCGCATATAAGCCATTAATAAAAGAAGGAGGAGGAGGTTAAGGTTTCGTGAAAAACTTCATATAATTTATTGTAATAATTTGTGTTGTGAGTCACGGTGGGAGATTCAGATGCGGAGTCATACGTGCAGCAGGCTCCGCGTGCTCCAAATATTGCTAAGTACGCACTTGTTTGAAGTTCTTTTTGAATATAAAATATTGCTAAGTATGCACTTTTTGAATTCACTGTGTTTGATTAATATTATGATATGATTTTTACTTCTGTTCTCTTGGAATATATTACTAACGTAATGCTATTTATTATTTTAGTATGCATTGGCAATACGGCTCCCGATACTCAAAATGAGGTGCAGTCTAGAACGAAGAGAAGTTAGTACAATCTTCATGTTTATTGTTCATACTGCGATGAATATAATAAATATTTATAATGATAAATATTTTTATACTGTTTTTTAGATCTCAATTCTAGATTCGGGCAAACTCAATTTCTCGCCATTGGAGAGTCAAATGCGGAATCAATGAAGGTATGTTTACACAATCTTTATTAAACGTGATTTTGTTATGTATTTGAAATGAATTAATTAATAATAGATAAACAAAAAATATCCAAACACATTATGTTTTATATCAAATTCAACAAGATTGAATATGAGACTAATACCTATATATGGGTAAAGGGAGTCCCACATTTATATAGTTTATTTGTTATAGATGCTGGCAGCTGCATCAAAATAGCAGACAGAGGCTGCAATGAAGCAGGCCGAAGCTTCATTGATTCATACATAGGCAATGAGTAAAATAAATAAAAGTGAATTTACAACTTATATGGTCGTTTTTAATTTGTACATCTACCTACATAAAATATATTGAAATAAAAAATAATCTTAGGTATAAAAACAGTCGATCTATCTTCTGCTAATTCTATATAGCATAAGAAATTCCGTCTCATCTAAAGCCAAAGATTTTTGGAGACATCGCCTGTGTGGCTATTTGCCGTCCTCGCCATTAGGTGTCGATGTTCAAGCACTGTTAAATCTAATGCTAAATATACTTCAGCCATCACGTTTTAAATATCATTATAACTAAATTTCCGATATAAATACCTCGAAATTCAGTAAAATATCGAAAAAAAATATTATTAGCGATCGCAAAAGTCACTTATCGAGCTGTCAAATTTTGTCGCTAAGGAGCTAGCGAAATTCGTTAATTTGACAGTTGAACTCGCTACGCCACCGACAAAAATCGATAACTTTAAATGTAGAGACTTGCAATATTCGTTAAATTACGATCGCTATGAGTTAGCGACCGAATTCGGTGACATTGCGTTCGCAAACTGTGTCGAAACTACCGCCCCAGGACTAATTTCCGAAGTAATAAATTAACAACTTAAGTGGTTCTACCCAAAAGCCGTCCGATACGGCGTAGGAAAACGTACAGTTACAGGCTTTATATAGGTTTTGGGTAACCTTTAATACTTAATTCGATATTCACATTAATATTTAGTATTCAATTTTACGTGAGACCTTTACTAATGTAGATGGAGTCATTTGTCGCATCATCATTACGAAGATCGTTTGATTTTGTTACTTTTTTAAATTGCTAGTTACTCGATTACTTAATTACTTGATTGTAGAGAGAGCATGATCATCAATACTTCCAATTTTATTAGAATGGTTACACTGACTTTGACAGTTCGTTAACAAAAAAGCAAATTGCCGCCATTTTGGCAGACATTCTGTTTCCGATCGTCGAGGAGTAAAGACATCCGACGACATCACGCTCATCTAGTTATATTTTCGTATGAAAGTGATAAAATGGAACAAATCCACGTTGGTATACACGCCTGCAGTATTATTTTAAAGATAGTCCTCCGATATAAACGATCTATTTGGGCTTCGTAAAAGCCCCTTCTGACTACCCGCCGAAATATATATATAGATAAAAATATTCTGCCAGCGGCTTCGCCCGCGTAGACCACGCGGAAACTGTTTATTTGGATATCGATTCATATCAATAACATAGAATGACAAATCGAATAGTAAACAATCGTTACTATGGTGACGTTATAATCCTCCATACAATTTTCTACTCCCGTTTTCATCCCTGTATTTGCTGTTATTCGGGATCAAATATGTCCAATGTTCACCGCTTTTGATGAAGCTTTCTTAGGTAAAGGAATTTTTCAAATCGGCTCTAAAGTTTCTGAGTCTTTTCGATGCAAGCAATCAAACATTTCGTCTTTAAAATATCAGTATATATTAATTAGTTTATGTCAAAAAATATAATTTTCATTTTGACTTTATAAATAATGCACAACAGTATATTGATCACTATTTAACTTATAGAAAATACAAAAGATGATCAACGGGCTCAGGTGGCCAAGATCACACAAGACATAACTCAGAAGATTTTCATTTTATTCATTGGGAAATTTTGAAACCCGGTAATTATTTGAACAGTCAAACAGCACGCAAACAGCACTATGTTGATGGTTAGATCCAAGATGGATTGTAGTAAAACTATTTATGATGTCGTGATGTCGACTATACATTTTCCATAAGTAAAAAATATAAATATTTTTGAAAGATGTACCTGTGGCATGTATCCGATCCTTGGTCCGGGTACCCCACTCCCAGGGCTGCCCGGTCTACCACCTAGCACCCAAATATCCCCAGAGTTGAGTCTCCGTCGTCCAACTATACAAGACAGGAGAGTGGTCTTCCCGCATCCTGAAGCACCTAGTAGACCATATCTGCAAGAATAGAGTAATATTTTTTTACATGTCATTTATTTACCTTCCATCCAAGCTAACTTGAATTGAATGAATGAATGATGAAAATGTCTTTATTCAAATAAGCTTGCTTCAAACACTTTTGAATCGACCAAAAAACAATTTTTCCCCTACTAAAAAGGACTAAAATACGTCCTGAACGAGTAGTCTTTTTGCTGACAAGAAAAACAAGCGAAAGAAACTTACCAGTTATTTATCATAAGTAACGTAATTTACAGAACAAAGCGAAGGCTATTAATTCCATACATTGCGGTCCTTAAAATAAATCATCAACTTTATAATAGCCTTTACTCATAAGCATGTTCTTTACATGAATTTTAAATTTATTTTTGGGTAGGTCAATTTTGTGGAACTTTATTGAACATAGCAATGCTACATCATACATCATCAGCCCTTGTACGTCCCCACTGCAGGGGCTCAGACCTTCCTTATGGATGGTTAAGGAGGATGGGCCATGACCCTCCACGCTGGCCCAATGCAGATTGGAGGGTATTAACGACTGCAAATGCAGCCGGGTCCAACGGCTTAACGTGCCTTCCGAAGCACGGAGTAGCTCGAGATAGTAAATTTTTGGTCACCCATCCCGTGACCGACCCTTGTGAAAGTTGCTTTACTGCGTGCGTAGTGGCGCTAATCCACTACGCCACCGAGCTACTCCATAGTAATGCATTTACCCAGAAACCCTTATTTGAGAGCTGTAACACTCAAAAGTCGGATAATGGGCGACAACTTAAAATGCTTCTTGGCAAATGGTGGCGACTTTAAAGAGAAACAGATGCAAACGCAATCGATAACTTTTCTTAATAATAAAACAGTATCATGATTTTATTTGAGATATCGGATAGATTTCTCACTACGCTACTGCTACTGAATAGCTTCTTATTATAATATCTTCCACATTATATAATAACAATATCATGACAATAATGTTTTACGCCCAAAAACTTAAAAGCATAACTAAATGCCACTTGTATAACCTCTTTAGGAAAAATCTGAGTCATCGTCGTATGCAAAAAAATAACGCATATCTTGGAGCTTAAATATCTTGGAGCTCTCGGAGCTTCTTAAATATAGAGCAACAAATTTGCTTATTTTGAAATAACGAAATTGAATCACACGCTTTGACATACTACTAAAGCAGATTCTACAACATCTAACACTTCAGTGGTACAATAAAATAATACCAATTTCAATAAACCTCTAATGCGATAGTGCTATATTTGACGCAGATATTTTAGGAAATACCAAAGCATGATAATATTACCTGTTCATGAAAATGATCCCACTTTCGCGGAAACGTGATATGTATTATATTTACTTTGTTAAAAGACTTATTGCAAGTCTCGGCTTCCTTTTACCCGACTACAAAGGAAGGGTTATATGTTTCGCGTGTATCTTGTATGTATGTAATATTCTTTATAACCTCATATATTTAAAACCGCTGAACGTATTTAGATGATTGAGGTTTCGTTAGATTAATCTCAGTAGCCCAAGTGTTATTAGATAGGTAACGTAAAAAAAATCAAATGTGGCGGCTATGCGACGCCATTTTTCTTTATATTTAATTAAAAGACTCAATACAAGCATTCTAAAAAGGTATATCATGAAAAATGAGATCATAACCGTAATACTAATAAAAATAATACAGTGATAAATTTAAAAAAAATATGGACTTTATTATATTTGATCAACTTTGGATACACAACGCTTTAATTAAAAATATTCTTAATATTTTTTTTTTTAAATTCAACGTTGTCCCATGCACTCTGAGATTGGACTCTAACCTATGACCTTACGCAATCTGGGGGACTGCTACTGAGCTACCCAGGACCCAACAAGACTGACAAATTTTTCAAGCATCGAAAAAACCTACCACTTGGGCGCAGTTTGGATTGGAGGGTATTAACGACTGATGATGCAGCTGACACGAAGGGTTTAACGTACCTTCGGAAGCACGGAGGAGTTCGAACTACTAAATGTTTGGTCCCACATGCTATGACTGACCATTGTAAAAGTTGCTTAACAATCGTAACTCAAACCTCAGTACAAATATATAAGTAGGTGCACTCAAGACCAAAGTGGTAAGTGTAAGCGGTGCGTATATATTAAGAATTTGTATGGAGACTTGTAGTTCTTGGTAGCTACCGCTAGGAGCGCTGTACCAGATTCCATACTAAAATCTTAACGCGCTCACGATCGACAATGAACATAAACGTCAAAAAACTTACACTAAGCGCTCTGAGCGAGAGATAATAGCCTAAACATGTAGGGGCTGTCGCTTATAGGTTATTAAAAATATGGCAAGCATCCGGGAAACTATAATACAACTTTCTACTGTTTTTTTTTATATATAGACCAGGAGCTGACTACAGTTTTTTCATACCTACGTCACTACAAATTGATATCTGGTAAACGAAATCTTGAGCAGAAACAATTCATAAACACTTTCAATGGGTAAATAGCTACATAAAATTATAATTACTTATGATACTATAATAAATTACCCGAATAACTAAATAACGAAATACCATATACTTGATTTATAAAAATTTGAAATACCATAAACATGATTTATAAATGCATATAGAATATTTTGGTTTAAGCCATTTTGTTTATGTCCAGAAATTTTATAAAGAGCGGCAGTATAGCTAAGCGAAATATACAATTATACGTGCTTTGAACTCCTATAACTTCGATAATTTGTAATTGTAAGTGTCTGCGTTCGCTTCGACGACGCATACGCACGGGCGCGCTCACATACAAACCATTTTCGGTGCGTATGTATGAAGAGCACTCACTCTTTATACTCTACTCAAACCGAACACGATAGCCACTGTTCCCATCGAGATTATGATTTAATAATTTTGAGTAATTGTAATATTTGATCAATTTCGCATACAGAATGGTATAGTGGAAAATATTCTCGATCAAAAATGCTTAAAAAATCTCAAAGCACCGGAGATAAAGCGAATTTTTTAAGCATTTTTCATTAATAATTATAAGTGAATAAGCCTAAGTGAAAAGATACTTACATTGCACCTTTAGGAACCGTCATGTTCAGTCCGTCTAATATGACGTTAGGATTACTTTTCGTGCCGTATCTCTTGAACGCGTTCCTTACACACACCGCCTGCTCCCTCCTAAACGTGACGCTGGACACTTGCGTTTGAAACTCCCTTCGTTTTGCAGCCAGACCGACGGGTATGGCGGGTCGAACGTCCTCCATTGAGATGGTAGCTCCGTGGTTGTCGTAAGCCGGCATTTTGTCTGAAAAGAGAAATCTATTTATTATTGCGTCCATCTAACAACAAAGATGCGTGTACGCAATAATATATCGACATATTGAAACAAGACACAAAAGGTAAGATGCTATAAAAAAATGGGTTTTTTATATGACGGTAAAAAATACCCGATACCGATAAACTAAAATTTATTAAAACTAATTTTATTATTAATTAAATATTAATTAAAACGCTGCATTTATTGGTGCGCTTGTCATGACGTCAATGTATAACTGGAGATGCCAGTTTTAATCAATATGGATTTTTAGTAATTGATTATGCATTCAATTACTTGTGTAGGAATTGCTCCCTACCCTCGTATGCTTGCTAAGGGTAAGGTTACTCAAAGGAGTGCTAAATAAAACCGAACCGTATGAATGCTATTAAAACACTGAGTTTATTATAATAATTATTTGTACATTTTGAAAAGTGATGTGTATGCAAACACATCTGGGTCATAGTGCAATAACTTATTTTACGCTAAATATTAATTTTGCTATGTACTGCGTTAGCTCGTACAACTCGAATCAATTAACGATGAATCCACTTTGTTAATAATCATATAGTTTGCTAAATTTATGAAATATAAATAAATTACACCAATTAATTTATCACCTTTATCGTTTAACAAAATTAAAAAAAAAACAAATAAAGTAGATCAAAATGGAGAACTATAGAGAAATTTTAATATGCCGCATTTTTTACGACGATTATTTTTTGGCTCCTGTCACCGCGCCTAAACACTGAACTAATAATAGTGCACTTTAGGTAGAGAGTACAATGGTCTAATGGTAAAATGCAAACAAGATTATTACATAAATATTAGCAAAATTGTCCTGGAGCACTTGAACACGTTACAATTAAGCGACTTACATACAAGTGACAGAAACAATAAATCAAGATGAAAAAGAAAAACACCATTACGCGCCTAGTTTTAAATATACTGAAATGTATGTTTGTAACGGGTTCGATACTTAGGCAAATGAATAAGAGACTGGCTAAGCTTAAGAACTTTATTTAATAATGGGTAAACAAAAAAGACTGTAACAAACAAAAAAGTATTACAAAACAGTTCGTATGGTTACCTAAATAATAATATTATAATAGAACAGCAGTCGTTAATACCCTCCAATCCGCATTGGACCAGCGTGGAAAGTCATGGCCTATTCTCCTTAACCATCCATAAGGAAGGCCTGAGCCCCTGCAGTGGGGACGTAAAAGGGCTGATGATGTGATGTGATGATGAATAGAACAATTACATACCCCTTTTCTTCGGGTTTGGTGAGTAATTTACTATAGTATACATTATTCTTGAGTTCAAACTCGTGAGCGTAACGGAAACGGGTAATAATAAATAGATTTTAACAAAATAGATTTTTACAACAAATTACTATTGGATGAAATTAAGTATGTATAATGTTTCTAACTCACGAACTAACATTCATAAAGAGCATTACTCAAAATTTCAAATTACGAAAAGTGAATATTAAAAATAAACGATGTTGAAGATCAAAGACAAAAAGTTTGCATGCGGAAACCTAGGATGAAATAAACGGTGGTACGGCACACCGTTACATAGTCAATATTTTTTCTTGTTTTGCTAACAAACATGTGCATGCTTTGGTTGTAATTTATTTTGAGTCAACGTTCTCTTTATTTTCTGTGGTCCTTTTTTTTGCTCCGACTGGCCGACTGGCAGGACCATCACCCTCTTATTAACATTAATTTCATCCCTTCTCATGATATTATGTCTATAGCAAGCTAACTATTTATGCAAACGATGGGAGTTATTAATGTAACGCCAGAACATCTAAGGTTTAAGCTCAAGATAGTCCACGTACGCACGGCTGGTTCCGTATAACAATATACACTGATTGGGGTACATATTAGGGTTGGCAATATTTTTTTTATCATAATATAACTATAGGAAACATTAAAAACACAGTTAAAGTTGTAATAAAATATTTTCAATTCCAATGGAATTTAAATTTTGATATACACTGATAATTTTTATTTTCTTTTTTAAGTAAGCGACAAGGGTGTTTGAAACTCTCCTCCGTGAACCTACGCGGCTGCTTTTCCAGTTTACCTTTGAATCACTTTCAGCTCCAAACCTAGATTAAAGTATAGAACACGTCTTACAAATCTTACAAAAGATTCAATAACAATAAATATTCACGAGGATTTAAGGGGCGAATATAAATCGGACACAGTATTCAGATATTCAACCCTAATAGGAATGTGCAACACGATATTTAAGGATATATTAGCCTTACGCCGGCCTGACGGTCGACTCCGCTTTCAGATCAAGGCTCACTTTATTTGCGATCAAAGTAATATATGCAAAATATAAACAGAAATAGCCTTAGACCTTAACCTTCACCATGAAATTAAAATAAATTAATACGTTTAGAATTTATTATGATATAAGATCGTAAACTCTCATGATATAATGAGAAACAAATAGATGTAGGTACTGTTTGAGTATGCAACAACTATGGAATAAAAAGAAAATTTGTATTTTAGCACACGCGTATGTATAAATTAATATAAATTTTATATGTATCGAATGATATGTATTGTAATAAATGAAGTATTTAAGCTAAAAAACAAAAGATTGCGTATTTTGAATTAATTCAAGATCCGAATGGAGGATTTACTATGTTCAAGGAGTATGTATATTTTTTATGAAAGTATGTATGTCAATCGATTTCTTGTTGAATTGTGAATCAATTTCTATCAAACTAGCTGTTTCCCCAGACTTCGCCTGCGTAAATTATAGCCTGTCCAATGCTTATGATGTAGCTTCCCGTAGGTGAAAGTATTTCCGAAGATTATCTCTTCAACCAAATAAAGTCAGAAACTTTACCCCCCCATAATATTAGTGTAGACTAACTTCCGCCAGCATTTAAACATAAAACTTTCTTCTTGAATCACTCTGTATAATAATGAAAACCACATAAAATTCATTGCCTACAATATTATGGCTTTAAAACATCTCAACGTAAAGACAGCGGGAAGCTAGACCAATAATATGTATAAAATATTTGCATAAGTATAAACATGGTATTAAGTTTCCACTTATAGGTAAGCTATAGGTAAATATATGTAAGCTGCTAAAAAGAAAAAACAGATGACAGCTAAAAACAATAAAATTAAAATTATAGTGGGTTGATATTTAAAAATAAGGATAACATTTCATAATTTCTTCTTCAAACAAAACATCATTTCCAGAGAAGGAAAAAACATACTATTTGTCGAGGAATTTGTCTACCAAACGGTTTTTAAGTTTGCTTAATGTAGTATTAAATAAATCAATATAGTTGCGCTAGTATAGATGTAATAAAAAATGACACTAAAGCTGAGCTCATATTCTAGTAATTTTAGTATAATTATGGCAAATCTTGTGACTATATCGCATATTATCAAAATAATCAGCTATCATCATCATACGCGATTGTGCTAATAATATTTGGCTTCAGAAAGATTAAGCAGTCAGAAATGCTATTAATTGAAACTCCATTGAAGTACCATTACTACGTTAAGATAAGTAGAGGTACTCTATTTGTCCTTGAACGAAAATTCGGAAAATTACAAATCGTTCTAATGGTTTTGTTAAAATTTGTGCGCCAGTGTCAGGTACCCCCGTTGCATAATAAATTATTCAATAAAAACTTTTTTTAAATAGAAACTTTTTTTTTTCAAAAAGTTTTTGTAAAACTTTTTTAAAGTCGGTTCTAAATAATAAAAAGAGTCTTTATTTCATGTTATTTTAGTGTTATTGATATTTTTCTTATAATAGGTAACACTAAAAATATTAAATACTAGCTTTCCGCCAGCAGCTACGCCCGCGAAGTCCCGTGGAACTGTTTATTTGAATATCAATTCATTTTATTTGAACCACACGTCCGTGCTTACCAAATCACCGGCTAAACGAGTACGAACCAGGCAAATTAGTCGAGTTCATTAGTTGCCTAAAGATTTTGTTTAGCTGGAGCGAAGAAAAAACTTTAAAATTTGTTTCCAATTTTTTTGGAAAATGAATGCTTGTGGAATATTAAGTCCAATTAGAAGCTTCTAGTTTATCTCTTCTGTCGATTCATTTCCGTATCCATAACTTCTTTTTATTAATTACACAAATTTCCTTATCCACCACTTCTAAAATAGTTATAATTAGCTTAATCAGTTTATTTACTTTATTGCGTTGTTGGCTGTTCATCTTGCAAAACAAAACTCACTAGTGAACTGAAATACATATTTTAGCTACTAAACTACTCGCTACTAGACTAAAATACTAGCTTCATGCGAACTAGGCTTAAACCGCTGTCATATATTTTAGCGTTTTGCATTTGACCATATCTATACTTATTTGTGTTCGACTCCCTGTTGTAAGCAACTCACTTCACCCACTCGATCCGGCCTTAGTATTTGTATTCTGCTAATTATAGTAAGGGAATCTCGATCGACCAGTATGATGTTTTCAGTTCACTGTTTTAAGGGACTCGCTTCAATCATCAGTATTTTCAGTTAGTTAAAATAGACATTCAAAATGCAAAAAAAAAGATATAATTGCAAAAGATTTGATTTTTGAGAAATATGTTTAGTATACGTGGGAACAGATCGATTTTAAACTATTGAAAGTTCGGAACATTGTTATTTATTATCGGTTCGCTTGTGCATCTGTCATAACTAGTACAATCACATGACAAGTACTTCCATTTTGCCATTGTACTGTAGTGGATCCAGGCCAGCTTAGTTGTTGGTTCTTAAATGAAAAGACTAACTAGGCTTGACGAGTATAGTTACGATAAAGATAAAAAACCCGTTTCTGAGTTTTATTTAGAAGCTAGATCTTAGTTTCATAAATACAGTTAATCCACTTTTTACTTTAAGTTTTGTATATTAAATAAGTACTTAAGTGTTTTATTAATTTTCAATGATAAACGAGTTGCTATTGGAAGTTTTTTTTACCAACTGGCACTCAGA